TAAATATATATAACTAGAACTAGTACTAGGGTACAAAAAGTCTATAATAGTATAGTAATAGTATAGTAACAGTATAGTAACAGTATAGTAACAGTATAGTAACGATCCGGTATTATAACGGTATTGTAACGGTATAGTAATAGTATCTAGTATTTACTATTGTCGAGATAGTAAATAGTAGAGAACTATAATACAGAGTCGGTAAGTATAGAGTAAATAATAGTTTTTAGATAGCTCGATAGAAGTAGATACAAAGGAAGAAGAAAAAACATAACCTGCACTCGTAATTTAAACTATGCACTCGTTCCGTCTTGGGATGCGTTTTGAATGCTTAGTCAGGAGTGCGTAGAACCTCAGAACGAGTGCGAGTCAGCGCCGCACGCCACCCACTCCTCGCTGTCTGGATCCATTGCTACGACTCCTGCCGGCACTGCTTGATGAACCACTTCTCGAACCAACTCGTTGCATCCGACTGCCATTGCTGCTAGTCAATCAATGCCGAAGACCTTGCTTTGCCTTGCCACCAGCAGTATATGTACACTGCCCGACTGATCCACCATGTCGCACGGTCCAACCCAAGCCGAGCCATTGAGACCCTTCTCACATCACCACGAGCGACATTCGAGCCATACCAGTGACATTCTGCCCTATCCAGCTCCGCGAGCCCATGTGGAGCTGCCGCGGCCCTTGGAGCCACGGCCACCGATGCACCAGTCTTACAACGACTCATCCGAACAACACCAACGACGACATCCCGACGCTTTTCGAAGCCCTGTTCGCAGTCATGCGGAATTTCGACCTCAGTCGCAGAGTTTACCTCGACTCCACGACATCTTGACCTCAGCCGCGCCCTCGGTGCCAAGTCCTCCTACATACGGCTCGAGCTGGGGCTCCAACACTGCTGTTCATCATCATCATCATCCTCCTCCTCCACCACCACCTGCTCCCCCATCGACCGCGAACCAGCAAAATGGAGATGGTCGCCATGGGCATGGCTCATGGTATCCCCAAACTAGCCACCTTCCCCAGGACCACCAGTCTTATCAAGCGCACCCGAAGCGCTTGGAATTACGAGTCTCGGACACGAGCCCCATTTCGCGACATGACAGTCATGCAGGCCCACTTTCTCCATATGGTCCTCGGTCCAACTCCAGAGGCTACGACCCGGTCCCGCGCGAACGCTCACGCCAAACCTCTACCAGCTCATACGCTCACAACGGCGCACCAAGTCCATATATGACTCTCGGACCCGAGGAACACCACTATCGGACTCCTACTGGACCACTGAGTCGCCCGAGCAGTGACAACTATGGCCCTGCTGGTCCCGAGTGTTCCAAGAAGTACTTGGGCATACGAGAGCTTCCAGGAGAGGGCACGTTCCACCTATACGAGGGAGGATATCGCATTCCTACACATGTCGATGGCGAGACTGTGAACCCTGCTTGGGGTCTGACCAAAGCCAACAAGCCGAGGAAGCGGCTAGCGATGGCCTGTCTCGACTGTCGAGAAAAGAAGATCAAGTGCGAACCAGGCGCTTCGAGTTGTTTGCAGTGTGAGAAGGCGAAGCGGCCTTGTCGAAAGTGAGTACGAACTCGAGTAGCTCTGGTGCTTCATGCTGATCAGCCATTAGGGCGCCTTCGCACCAATCCCAGAGCGAAACGTCTTCAGGCTCCGTCTGGCCTACCGGAACAGGATCCCCACCTGGAAAGAGCGTTTCAGCTTCGAGTCCCCACCAGGGAGAAGATATGGAGCATGAAATGGCGAGTAAGCGACGTACGATGGATGAACACTCTCCTTCTGGAATACCCAACAAGAGGCACCGTTCTGCATCGCCCATCTACGGTGGGAACGGCGCGGTCGCCCCGCCCGTCACCATGCCGTACCATCAAACTTCACCTACGGCGACGAGACCTCAAGGCAGAGGTCTGTCGTGGGCGGAGGACCCTTTCGCAGTAGATCCTGATGTCACGCTACAAGTACTCGAACACTTCTTCCAGGACGTGAACAATGCGACCTACGGCATTTTCCCCCGGCATCATTTCCTGGGTTGGGTGCGGGCATGTCCTGAGAAGTCCCGTGATGAGAAGCTTCTGCTATATGCAATGCTTGCCATTGGGTCGAGATTCGCCGAAGACACTCATGCTGCTTTTGGAAAGCAGTGCGCGCACGTCGCCGCCGACGCATTGCGCAATACGCAAGGACAAAACAGCATCGCCGTGGTGCAGGGTCGCTTGCTCCTGGGGCTATATCACTATGCCAAGGGGGCTAACGAGACTGCCTGGGAGCTTATTGCTGCTGGGGTCAGTGCAGCACTTTATCTTCGATACAACACCGAGGACGGTTGCTCCCGACACGACACGAATGGAAGGAGCGATTTTGGACTTTCGACGGAACAGCTCATCGAGTGTAAACGCCGCACGCTATGGTCTGCATTCATGATGGACCGCTATTGCGGCAGTCGGTGTACACTGATCAATCCGAAGGATATTTTCTTGCGACTCCCATGCCTAGACGACAGCTTCGAGCGAGGCGTCCAGTCCGAGGCACCCCATTATGACAACGGCATTATCGACCCGGCCATGGCGAACGTGACACCCGCGAGTCCGATCTCGCCCATGGGCTGGCTCTGTCTGATGGCTGCTCTCTGGGGCGAAGTAGTCGACTTTGTCTATCGAGCACCGCACCGATCGAGCGTCACCTACCAGGATGCGTACGAGAGATTCTATGCGCAGACATCGGCCGTTCTCCAGAATTGGTTGTCCCGGTTGCCAGAACAATTGCGGTTATCACGAGACAATGTGGAACGCAGCATCAAGGGGGGCTATTCCGGGCCGTATGTTTTGATGCATCTCCTGTACCACCTCTCGTGGGTCAAGATGAATCGATTTGTCAGACATGCTCTGATTGCTGGCTCCGTTACACGGAACATTCGCGCGACTCAGCATCACTCGCACGAGTTGTTGCAAGTGATGAATACGCTCCGGGCCGCGAAATGGGACATGGCCGAGAAAGACGGGCACATTGCATCATTTTCATTCACGACACCCTTTGCGGGCTACGCGATTCTGGCGGCCATCGATGTGGTGGGTGCGGGTGGTCTCGACCTGCAACTGAAGTCGACGCTCGATCTCATCAGCTGCGGCCTCGAGTCGTTACGCGAGCTCGCACGATACTGGGACAGCGCACGGGACCAGGACAAGGCGTGCGAGAAGCGATACTATCAGATTCACAATGTGTTGAAGCATCCCTTCACGGCACGCAGCGGGTGCTGGTTGGGGCGCGAGTGGGGAGTTCACTCATCGCTAGAAAAGGAATTCTCGGAAGAGGACGATTGCATATATGGCGCGGACGATAGATTGTACTTTGACGCATTGCGGGAAGATGATCCGACGAGTGGAAAGACGCCCAGTAATGCAGGCCAACGTACAGTCTAAGGCTGTCGTGTGTGGCATATATCGACAGAGGAGGTTATGTGTGTGTGTGTGTGTGTGTGAGTGTGTGAGAGAGAGTGTGTGTATGTCCCCTCCCCGAGTCAGCTATGGAGAGAAAAGAAAGAGAAAAAGAGAGAGTGTGTTATTTCCGTCGGGATAGGATTCCAACAGCACTACTACGATTGATGACGTCTCGGACTTCCAAAGGAGGTACCTACATACCTACCTTACATAGGAACCTATATACCTTTACCTTATACAGTAATGAGGCCTGGCAGTGTGCCAGTTGAAAGGGAAAAAAATTGCAATCAGTGTTGGATTGATTCAAAGGCTTTCAAGTAAAACTCATGTAATACCTACCTTACCTACTCATACCTGTCCCCAACCTTAGGTCCCTTACGTGATTGATAAATGATGAATACCTCAGGTTAGTAAGGTAAGGTAAGGCAAGGTAATGTAGGAACCTACCTACATACATAGCCCTAGTATACCCATACGCTCCTGCTCTATATATTATACATGTCATGTAGTACGTGTACCTCCCTACCTACAGCTCGTTACGGTAAGGTAAGGTCATGTAAGGTAGTTCTCTGCATGTGCGTGTTGCATGCATGTGTCTGTCTCTCTTGTGTTTTTCGTATATACCGCAGGAATGGGATTGAACGGGGAAATAGGTAGGTTGGTTGGTATCCAATTGATTAATCGATCAATCAATCAATACCTGACGCTTCCCGGGGGACAAAAGCAGCAATTGAAAAGGATTTCGGGGCCTGTATATACCTAGTAGGTAGTTGTTTGAGAGGTGTATTTTTACATCCATCGCTTGTACCGACGTCGGATGTAGGATGGATGAATCACTCGGTAGTTCTATACCTTGATGGAGCTAGTTAGGGAGTGAGGACGGAAGAGAGGGTACTTTAGCCCTGCCCAGACGGAGAATATCTTTGCCCAGCCGGAAGGAGAATTTTGGTGGTAGGGTATTACTACTACTACTAACTAGGAGGGAAGAGGGAAGAGGTACTAGACTTGCCGGAGTCTATACAAGGATATAGTTGTAGTAGGCTGGGACTGACTTACTATATAGATCCTAGGTAGGTAGAGATGTTTGCTCGTAGGATGCTGAAAGTTCAGTCTACGTGCTCCTATAGTACAACTGGAAGGGGTATACGGTAAGGTCAGGTATGATATATGTGATATCATGTCGGGGAATATCAATATCCGACATGATAAGATAGTTCAATCCGAACTTCCGAAAGACTTGGGAACTTGGGGGTCGCGCCCGGCTCGCTAATAATGATAATAAGATTGCTGGATCTACATATCACTTGCCGAACACTAATTGCCTCGTTTATACGGCGGGATGGCGACGACGACGACGACGACAATGATACAGGATATATAATAGGAACAACCACAACAACCACAGCTATAGCCACACTAGCCACATCAACCACATCAGCCACAACAACAACAACAACAAAACAACAGCCACCTCAATCAACGACAACGACAACAACAACAACAACCACGTCATGCACATGCAAGATACCTTACATAACAGGTTGTTCTTGCATGATCAAAGGCGCATATGCACATGCAACATGCAACATGCAACATGCACATGCAGCAGGGCACGCGGTGTATCTGCCGTCGCCCCGCCTTACCCCCTTCGCCTCTTTTCGCCTCGCTACGCCAAACCGTATGACCCTAATGTATGCCGATCGCGAGAGCTAACCTAAATCTAATCCAATCCAATCCAACCTACTAGAGGTACAGCAAGATCTAACCGTGAGAGCCCGAGATCTCTCTAGAGAAGTTATATTGTGCAGACTGCCTGGAGGTAGTAGTAGCAGTATATCCGAGCAGCGAGCTTATTGATTTTGAAAGATTTAACGAATTTGATAATAATAATTGTAGGTAAGTAATAATCATAACCATGTCCGCAGGAGGAGGAGGCCGAGAACTAGAGGTAGCTATACATAGTAAGTAAGAAGGTAGTGTGTATATACCTTGCTAGCTGGCCTCGCTAGCCGACATATATGAGCCGCGTGTGTGTGTGTGTGTGCGTGTGACGGGTGTGTGTCCACGCATGTCGATCGTCCTTCTTCACTCTTCTCCGAACGGACGAACGAACGAACGACCAGGGGGGGCCCCATCCCCTCCCGGTCACTTTTTTTTTCCTTTTTTTTCCTTTTTGCGATGCTGATGAGAGATGGATGAGCTGGCATATATATCCCGCCGCCGCTGCCGCCGCCGTCCGTCGGTCCGTCCGTCCGTGTCGCCACGGCACGAAGCGGGTTCTTTTCTCTCGTCACTTACCTCCGTACATGTAGGAGGTACTCAAGTGGCCCACCCGACCGGTGGGTGGTCCGTGGACATATTCGCTGCCGAACGACATGTACAAAATAAAAGAAAAAAGGAAATATGGGTCTCTCTGTCTAGACGCGCACAAATTCCGCACTCCACTCGTACTAAGGTACATGGTTCTGCTCCACTCCACCACACCATACCACAAACCTGCACTACACTACTGTACAACTTGCTACTACTGACCTACTACGGCGACAAAGATGCCGTATGTTTCAAATCCAGGATGTTTTGTTTTTCTTGCAGTGCCGTGCTCTTACCCGAGACATACGGTATACCTTACCACCTAGTACATATCATGCCCCCTTGTAAGCAGGAAGCAAAGGACGACGCCAAGCTCGCCAGCAGTATCTTATATACCTTACCTTACTAGAACTAGGAGGTAGCTCCTCGAACTACATATGTACTAGTGACGGTACTAGAAAAGGAACAAAGAGAAAAAAAAATTGTTCGGCTAGATGCATAGCTTGCGGCGCTCGGCTCGCGTGTTTTATATGCAGGTAGACCCCGAAGACAACCGAGACATTGCATTACCTCCCTTCCTACAAGTCTGGCCCGCTTGCCCCGCCCGCCCGCTTACCTGCCTGTACTGTAGTCTGTAGATACCATGGATGTATATGTCTCAAGAGGAGAGGCTCAACGCATCACTCTACTACGACGGTACTGGGGGCCGGAGAAGCGTGGTACTGTACGGCATTTATTTTATTAGGTACATATTTTGATTATTTTGATTGTTATTAGAGAGGAGGCGCTCGCTTCTACTACCCCCTCCCCTGTGCCCAGCTCTGTAGTACCTAGTACATAGGAGGTAGGTAGGTAGTAATAGTCCTTTCCTTCGGGTCATCATCATTATTATCATCATCGTTATCATCATCATCATCGCCCATCGTGCATGATTCGACTCGACGACATGGGTTCGGAATCCTCACTGCCGTCGTCTCGCTCTTCGTCGCGAGTTGCGGCAGTCTCGCGATAGGTGGCAGCATGATTCGTTCTACTAATACTACTACCACTACCACTACCACTAGTATTACTACTACTGTTGTGGGACTGCACCTCTTTACCCTTCTTCTCCACTATATCGAGATGTGCGAATTCTCGCCGTGCCAGCTGCACGTTGACCCGCGCGGCGTTGTAGGATGCTTCGTCGCTGGGCATGACCACGGCCAAGTTGGTGTTTTCTGTCAGGCGTGTGATGAAGAACATAAAGGTGCCCGTTTTGATCTGCATTTCTGCAAACGAGACTTCCGATGGCATCATCCCCGTGTGCTTGGACATGGAGTGTTTGTGTGTCTTGAGGATGCTGCTGATGCGTTCGAAGCGGTCCGTGTACGGATTCTGTGCTTCGCTTCCGCGCGTGATATGTGTCACGACCAGGCATGTCGTGCGCTCGTACAGGATCATCTCGCGAGCATCGAGTAACTCGGCGAGCTTTCCGAGCATCCCTTCGATGACAGTGGCATTAGGAACCAGGAAATAAATGACTTGTGTCCAGGCACGGTAGAGACTCTGGTCCCAGATCGAGCTGGGACAAATGTCCACTTGCTTGCCTGTGAAGCCTTCATCCTCGCACGTCGCCCGGATGTCGCTCGCTTTCTGCGCATAAAGTGTGCCTCGATGGTCGCCCGAGATGAGATCCATTTTGTGTATGAGAACAAAGATCTTGCTGTTCGGGCTGAACTCCTGCAACGCTCGGATCGTGTTGGCGAAACTGAGCATGTCGGGAGCGGCTTCCCGGGAGGCAATGTCGAACACAAAAATCAATACCGCCACCGACGTGAAGACATGAGATCGCTGGTTCGTCAAATACGACTCGACGAACGAGTCTTGACTGCGAGTTTGGTTTTCATCGTCAGTCGTCCAAACCCCTACCAGAAAGCGCAACAGAGATGGAAGAAGAAGAAAAAAGCATGCCTACCCTCCACAGTCCCATAAGTTGAGCATCAAGTTGCCCATGAATTTGATGTTGCTGTGCTCCACATCGACCGTTGCGCCCAGTTTTCGAACCTCCTTTGCCACGTAATTTTGAAATATGATGGACCGCATCGACGATTTCCCGGCGCCCGACCTGCCCATCAGCAAGACTTTCCGCTGCTTGTGGCGCTTGCTGCTGCGCTCCATCGTACTCATATTTTCGTGCAATATCTGCGAGTTTTTGATTTACGTGGAACAGCAGTCACCGCCGGTGCGCGCGCGCTCTCGTTGGCGCTGTGATTAGCGTCGAAAAGAGGGGAGTGTCAGAGTGTGTCAGTCGGTTACAGAAAGCAACCAAGGATGGAATGGGATGAGGTGTGGGTTTGACATTGCTTGGCGGTAAGGAGCGCTGCTCCGCTTTCTGTTCTCTGCCCTTCACTCCACACCTCACTTCACTTCACTCCACTTCACTTCCATCCACTTCGCGCGTTCCTCCGCCACAGTTATAATGATAAAATTATTGTCACGAACGGGACTCATCCGTCCTAGAACACTGCAAGACAAGATACACCGTCAATGTGATATGCAAACCTCCGATCTGCAACTTCACCGGTACCCCTACCCACTCCGCCACGCATGGCGAGTGTTTCACATACATGGAATGGCAAGCGAACTCGGCTGAAGCCCTCCTTCAAGAAGTCCGCCTCTATATGCGCTACAACACTTATGCACTGGCATTTCCACCTCGCAGTCTCGCATCTCTCGTTTGCTGTTGACGAGAGGAAGTCTGATGACGAGTCGATGCCTTTTCCACTGTGGGCCAGCATCCAGTCCTTAGCCATATCTGCTTCCTTGGACTACTAGAACTCCTCTCCCCATTACTGCTAGGTCTTTCAAGCACATTCCATTCACAGACGTTCGTTTTTCTCTCGTTTTTCTTTCGCTCGTTTACTCCGCAATGCATGCACTATTGACTCCTCTCTTGACTATTGCTGCGCTGGTCGTTGCACAGTCTGTCGAGCTTTCGGGGAGCGTAGGACCACTGACGACCATCGCAGACAAAAAGGCGGTCGCGACGTGTGACATTACAGACTATGGTGCTGTAGCAGATGGCAAGACAGATATCTCGGACGCGTTGAACCAGGCATTTGAAGCTTGCAAAGCGGGAGGTGTTGTGGTGGTCCCTTCTGGAGACTTTGCTTTGAGCACTTGGGTAAAGCTCAATGGCGGAAGTGCATGGGCATTTCAACTCGATGGCACAATCTACAGGACTGGCACAGAAGATGGCAACATGATATTCATCGAGCATACCGACGACTTTGAGATGTTCTCGTCGAATGGCGCGGGCGCCGTCCAGGGGTACGGCTATGAATTCCACAAAGACGGCAAAGATGGAGCGCGCATCCTGCGTTTTTACGACATCACCAACTTTAGCATCCACGATATCATTCTGGTCGATGCTCCAGCCTTCCACTTTGTAATGGATACGTGCGATCGTGGAGAAGTGTACAACATGCTCATTCGTGGAGGGGACAAAGGTGGTCTGGACGGCATCGACGTGTGGAGCACCAATATATGGCTTCACGACATCATGGTCACCAACAAGGTACGTCTGGTTGCTATCAGATCCTCTGCTTCCACTAATGGCTCCTCAGGATGAGTGCGTGACCGTGAAATCACCATCGAAGAATATACTGGTCGAATCTATTTACTGTAATTGGAGCGGCGGTTGTGCGATGGGCTCCCTTGGCTCCGGCGTGGACGTGAGCGACATTACGTACCGCAATATTTACACGTACAAGTCCAACCAGCAATTCATGGTAAGCGCAAGAACAAGTCATGGACTTTCTTAATTTTTTCTTTATTTGTTTCTCTTTCTGCGGATTGCTAATGTTGGTCTACCACTCAGATCAAAAGCAATGGCGGAGATGGCACTGCATCCAACATCGTCCTAGAGAATTTCATCGGTAGATCCAACGCCTATTCCTTGAACATCGATCAATACTGGAAAAGCATGGACCCCATCTCCGGAGACGGTGTTCAACTCTCCAACATTTCAATCTCCAACTGGACAGGTACAGCAGCAGACGGCACCGAGCGTGGCCCCATCAAACTCATGTGCGCTGACGGCGCTCCATGCACCGGCATCGACATTACAGATTTCGCCATGTGGACCGAGTCCGGCGACAGTCAAACCTATTCGTGCAGAAGTGCTTACACCTCTAACGATCCTGCACCTTTCTGTCTCAAAGCTGGAGCAGCAGGCGATGCGCCTCCCTACTCGGCGACAACTCTCACGGCTACCTCGGCTCCAACGGGCTACCAAGCACCTACGATGCCTGACGATCTTGCCGACTCGTTTGGCACGACGGCTATGATTCCAATTCCGGCTTGGCCTGCTAACTTTTTTCCGGGGATTCCGCCAATGAGGGCTCTTGCGGCTAGTCCCTAGATCATCAGCACGTCGAGCAAGCCGCGTCGCAACTCCCTCGCTTCCACCAATGGTGGTGTGATTTCTATATGAAATTCATCTCTTCGATATCAAGACACCCCCCTCCAACACCAGAATACTTTTCGTCAGCCTCTATCTGGCCTCAAAGAAAAAGGATCTGCAATTATCCAAAATTCGTACTCCCCCCCACAAAGTGTAGTAGTATAAGGTAGCTTGAAGCCTACATCATACATGTACCTTTATCCAAGAAAAAAAAAAACAAAATGCTCACTTCAGGTATTTTGAATCCAACCTCACTCATCTCATCTACGTTTCTTCTCAAACTTACAATAAGTTTCAATGACAAACGAACAGTTAGTCAGTGAGTTCCCTCGTTATAGGTAGCTTCTATTACTATAGCGAAGATCAATAGCCGGCCGGCTAGATCCGAGATTGCTTTCCATCACCACCTTCCATTGAACACATACCTTGGCCGGAACAAGAGTCTGTAGAATCATACAATGTCGAGTGCAGAGTCTGGTATTCATATTGTCCACACTCGGCAAGCTGATCATCACGTGTACCTACCACGCCGTAGCACTTTCCAATGCTCATGGTTGGGCTTACCTTACCCACGCATACCTTCCTTACAGCTCCTTGTCCCATCCCATCCCATCCGCATCACCCGACTTTTCGTTACATGTACCTTCTGCCTGTCCCATTCCATCATCCCAAACCACCCCACAACTCTTCCCAACGGCGAATTCAAAAGAACAACCCATTTCTCTCGCCTACTAACCACATCACCAGCAAAATCTCATTAAAAAAAACAGCAAACACCATGAAAATCATCCTTACCGGCTCCACAGGTTTCATCGGCACCGAAATCCTCTCCCAACTCATCTCCCACAACTACATCACGCACATCTACCTCCTCACACGACGTCCCCACCCTTCGCCCCAAGCCAACAGTTCACGAAAAGTCACTCAAATCCTGCACGAAGACTTTGAATCCTATTCCGATTCCCTCCTGCAACGGTTTCGCGAAGAAGGCGTCGAAGCATGTATTTGGAGTCTGGGCGTGGGGCCGGGCATGGCCACGACGAGTAATATCGATGCTGCGAGGAAAGTGGGAGTGAATTATCCTGTCGCGGCTGCAGAGGCGTTTCAGGCGGGGATTGCAAAGTATATGGAGCCATATGTGGGATTTCCGGAGAAGCAGCCAGCGGCGGGACAAAAGAGGTTTCCGTTTCGGTTTGTGTTCATTTCTGGGTGGGGAGCGGAGCAGGATCAGTTTCGCCGGTTGTGGATGTATAATGAGAGTCGCAAGATTAAAGGCGCGGCGGAGAAGGCGTTGTTTGAGGTGGTGGCTGCAGCGGAAGAGAAGGGGTTGAATCCGGGGGATGGGAAGGATGCAAAGGTGAATATGAGGATTAATGGAGGGGAGAAGCATAAGTGTTTTGAGGTGGTAGCGTTGAGGCCGGGAGGGGTGTTGAAGGGGGATACGGAGGGGATCATGACGGTGGTGACGGAGGCGGTGGTGCCGAGTATTGCGGTGCAGAGGCTGGCGAAGACTGCGATCAAGGTGGCATTTCATGGTGCGGAGGGAAAGACGATACTGGAGAATAAGGACTGTTTGGGAGACGATTGGGCTATGGTCAATTCATTCATGATGTGAAGTTTTCACTCTCCATGTCTCGGTGTCATTACCGCTCTTCTCGCTGCTATCCCTGGAAGTTCTTTGAATGCAGCGCAGTTCCAAGCGCTCGCGTCCTTCCGTTTTGAAGCAAGCACATCAGGCCAAGTTGTGCTCTCACGCAAGGGACACGACACGCTCATGTCGAAGCCGTCTCAGAAAGGAAGAAAGTCGCTTCCATCAGAGTCCTCTTCCAGGTGGCCTCGGGTTTCACCAGCCTTTCCCTTCGCACCGATAGCTGGGATACGGCCCGTCACACTGTCTGGGCGCTCGCTTGGGTCGTGACTTCCTGCTTCTTTCGTAACGGATGGCACGACCTCTTCGACTTTGACAGAAGCCTTGACGGCCTCGAAGGCCGCGTCTAAGCCATCGTCGCTGTCATTGCCACCGTTTGCATCTGCTATGGCATCGTCCTCGCTGCTGTCAGGATCCGCATAGATCTTTCGAGCGCCGGAACGACGGCTCGGTGTAGTGCGCTTCGCCAGCGGCGTGTCGAAATCCATCTTGGTTTCGTCGTCGTCGCCGTCGTCGTCACTCATCGCAGACGCCCTGGCCCGCTTGGCGCTTCCAGTCGGTGTCTTGAACTGCGTCGTGCGCCCACTGACAGGCGTTGTCCTGGCAGTACTCTTGGGCGTCGAGAAGCTCCTCTTTGCGGTGCCACCCTTGACGCCGGATTTCTTCTGCAACATCTTGAACTGCTCGACGATGGCGCGCGCAGTTGGATGGAAATCCTCGTCCGCTATATCAGAGTCAGTATGATTGGAACTCACACGATGAAGTGGGATGACATACGGTACTGCTCCTTCCAGTCTTGAGCCAGCTTCTCCTTGTCGACTTGGATGCCGCCGATGACGAGCATGAGAAGTTTCTCGTTGCGCTCAGAAGTCCACTTGATCGCCATTTTGCTGTTGGGATTGGCGAACGTGGTCAGCCGCGTGAGGATGAATATGTGCTGCTGATGGCGCGGATGGTGACAGACTATGAAGGGGAAAATCGTACTTGGTGGGACTGTGGTGAACCGGTACTCTGTTGGCGGAATGTTGTGGTGTTGATGATGGAGCTGAAGCGCGAGAGTGGCAGACCAAGTCGTGCTCGATTTCACCAAATGAGAAGCTCCGGCTGCTTTGTGGTGGGAACTGACGACAACAACGGCTTCACATGTTTGTTATGACAACGGGCAGTCGCGACAGACACCGTCAATCATGATGACACACCACTCACTACTGAGAAGCTCAGTGACGAGAATATTCTATTGTGGTGAAAGCTCCTCACGAGTCTCACAGACTTTCACGTCCGTTTAACGTGACGCGCGATTCCTGTTATCCGGCCCCCCACCCCAGCAAAAAGCATATTCTACCTATGCATATGCATATGTATCTGCTGGGAACAAGGACTCTCAACCGGGGCGAGGAAATCGGGAAACTTGCAAGCTCTACGCGCTTCTCCATAGTGACTGCAATATCATGGTCTTTTGAACAAAGCCAGCACGAAAGGGAACACAAGATCTCAGAAGCACAGATCTCAGAAGCACATGATATTTTGGAAACATCATCGATTCAATCAATGGGGGGCACCAGACCAACACTACCTACTTCGGGAGACTCTGCTTTGAATCACGCTGTATATCCCCGAGAGAGAGACAGTCTTTATAAGCTGGCGCCCATCCGACACAAGTTCCTTTTCCCCTTGATATTATTATTATGTCCCTCTCGTGTGTTCGTCATGAGGTTTGTTCTCTGGACAGTACAGTAACAGATCTTTTCACTTCAGGACTCAAGACAAGAAACCACTGCCCAGATGATCTTCTTGGTCGAGTCCGACGCTGAAGTCTCCTCCTTCTCCTCCTCCTCCTCCTAGCAGCTCATCTTCGCCATCGAAGTGACGCGGCATGTCTGCATCCTCTTCCTCCTTGATGACCTTCTTCCGGTTCTTGGGTGTTGAAGAAGACGGCTTGGAGATGCGACTATTCTTGACAGCTGGTGACGAAGAGACGGTGTACCTATGTATTAGTAACCTGCTGATCTTTTACTGCATGTCTTTCTCGGAGGTGCTGTAAAGCACAGAAAAGAAAATCGAAGGGGGAAAAAGAGAGAAAAGCGGACTTACAAGACAAAGTATCTTTCTTCGGCGTACTCTTCGGAGTAGCAGTAGTACTGTTGCTGCTGCTGCTGTTGTTGTTCCTCTTCGTCTTCTTCTGCTTCGGTGTACCACTACTCTCATTCAAGCGCTCACCTCGCTCGACCTCTTCTTTGAGCACTATGGCTTCTATTTTGATTGTTCGGAAGCGGTGCTGGATGGTGTCGTAGGTTGTGCCGAAGTGGATGGCGACTTGCTGTTGAGAGTTTAGATTTGAAGAGGAGGGGAGAGGAGAGGAAGAGGAGGTACCTTGTAGTCAATCTATGAAAGAAAAAAATGTCGTTAGTGATCGGGTAAGGATGTCTCGGATATGAGAGGGAGGAGGAGGAAGGGGAGGAGGAGGAAGGAGGAGGAGGTGAAAAAGGGCTCACTCACCTTGACGCCTGTGGCGATGATGGCGGCAACGATTCGCTGCCAGGTCTCTTGACTGTCCCAGTTGACGGTACCTTTTGCCATCTTTTGTTTTCTTTCTGGCTCCTCGAGGGGAAGTGGAAGCTGAATTCGAGTTTCGATGTTACCTAGTAGGTAGGTAGGTGTGTTTGTGAGGAAAGTCGTTGTTGGGAAAGATTATGTGTGTGTGTGTGTGTGTGTGTGTGTGTGTGTGTGTGTGTGTGTGTGTGTGTGTGTGTGTGTGTGTGTGTGTCAAGTGTGTCAAGTAATGATGAGTAAGTGAATTGAGCTGTTTTGTTGCTGAGCGTTGTCATCGAAACGAAACGAAGTGTGTCTATGCGACTGCTACATCTACATCTACATCTAGGTACCTGACCAGAATCTATAGGAAGTTTGTATAATGCTTCACGATAGGTACCTGTAGCCTCACGTACACGTAGACAGACACTGACGACGGAAGGTAAGGTAGCTAGGTAGCTGTCAACCTACCAATCAATCTAAATCTAACCCTCGTACTGTACATACCTTACATGAGGTGTATCTTAGTCGGGGAAATACACCAAACGACAATCTAGGTAGGTCAAACTGATCGCGAAATGCACGCGTATTCCTGCAAGCACTTCACGCGTTCACTGACTGCTGCTGCTGCTGCTGCTGCTGCTGCATTGTACAGCTCTAAGCCGATATTCCTGGTCTTGGGCTGGGATGGAGGTAGCTCTCCCGGCGATGTGATGTATCATTATTCTTATGCTGAAGGGCAAGAAATGGCCGGGAATGTCTAGGAAGAAGAAGGAAGAGGAGGAGGAGTCGGGATGCCAAGACTCTGCTTAGTGCGGCTATTCCCGCAGTATACTTTGTACCTCCTTAGACGACACGGGAAAGTCATGATAAGAAGATAAGAAAGTCGCGTACAAGGCGGAAGGGAACATGTACCTCCTTAGTACTTCTGCATCCTGCCGCCTGATGGAGGATGGAGGATGTTGGAAGATGATGGAAGATGTATCAAGACTAGGTGCCAAGTCCCTCCACCATTTCCTGTTTATACCTAGTCTGCCACAATGGCAACACCACCACATCCACCCGAGACGAGGCAGCTCATCGAACATCTCTGCAATCTCCAAGTTCCCAATGACATCCAGCTCTCTCCCACCGCCAACCATATCCTGTACGCAACCAGTCTGAGCTATGATCACAAAAAGGGCAAGCATGTCGTGTCCACATTGTGGCTAGCCGACACTGGCAAACAAGACTCTTCTCGACAACTCACCTCCGGAAACACGAGAGACTATCACCCGCGCTGGCATCCTCAAGAAGACTGTATCGCCTTCATCTCCGATCGAGCCAGGCCGGGTGAGCAATGGGCTATATACCTCTGGCAATTCAGCCAAGGACTCCCCTTTGGCGAACCTCACCCTATCACAGATACCGAGAATGAGCGCCCAATCGTGGCCTTCGAATTTTCTCCTGATGGAAGACGACTCGCCTTCCTCTGTGCCGATCCAAAGACCGCGGAAGACAAGGCTCGCGAAGCCCATGGCGAAGACTGGAAGGTCTGGGGCCAGGAGTGGGTGAACGTACGTCTGCGCACTGTCGATCTCGAGACGAAGGCTGTCGTGCGCCATGCCGGCAAAGATCACAGTTCAAAGTCATTTGATGATCACGTCACTGCGTTATGTTGGCGCGACAGCCAATCTTTGGCGGTAGTGCACACGAGGACCTCGCATATCGAAGAGCCGTTCTTGTCTGGCTCAAAAGTCAGCCTGGTGAAGATCGGGCCTGTCGATACGCCTGAGATGGCACAAATGTGGTCTATCGAGGTAGGTCGTGCGATGTCTCTCAATGTAGAAGCAGATTATGCGCATCCGCCTGGAACAGACGCTGCTCGGGCTACAAGCATCCTTCGCTGTACCGCTTCTCTGCAGCATCAGTTTCTGGCCCACTGCCTCGGTCTTTACTGATTGACTCCAGGAATTTCTTGCTATTCCCAGTGCCATTCCGAGCATCGCTTGGGCGGACGAAGCGCTGTACTTCATTGGTGGTGCTCCGATTGACAAAACGTGCGGAGGTCGGTTGGTCTACGCTGCATCGACATCGTCCGGAGAGCCAAAGAGAGTCGCCTTTGGTCAAGTGAATGACGCAAAGAAGGTCATTTCTGTCAATGGACAAGCCATAGCCTACGTCGAGCATGGCCTTCGTGATGAAATCTGGATGCTTCCGAACACTCTTCTACTCAGCCTACCACAGCGCATTGATGCACTCCATGTTGGCCGTTCTGGCGATGGACTAACCCTGGCCATCTCAACATCTGATATCAACACTCCTGCTGAGGTCTACTCATTGACAGCCTCCCCCGACTCCGCTCCCGTCCGTCTCTCGAATCATGGCGCAGTATTCAGGAATCGTCAGTTTGGTTCCTGCCATTTCTTCAAGTGTGCCTCGAGGGACCATGAAGTCGACTTGGACGGCATTTTCTTGACGCCGAGTCCACGGCTCGCTGCAGAACCTCAGCCTACCGTGGTACTGATACATGGAGGTCCTACTGCCCGCGATACCAATGCTTTCGATTCGTACTTATTCTACTGGACGCCCTTCTTACTGAACCATGGCTATTCTGTCGTGCTGACCAACTACCGAGGAAGCTCGGGCAGAGGAGAAGCATTCGCTTCCTATAGTCTCAGGGGCGTAGGCAAGTGGGACCATGAGGATGTCGTCACCATCACAGATCACGCTGTGAAACTAGGATTTGCCGATCAGGACCGTCTGATGGTAGGCGGAATCAGCCAAGGTGGCTTCTTGTCGTACCTGTGTAGCACCAGAAACGGCTCGCTGTTTCCTTGGAAGTTCAATGCAGCCGTGCCTCTCAATGGAGTCACGGAGACCGATACTCTGGCGCTAGCTTCCGATCTCGGTAGCTCTCTCGAGACTGAGCTCAGTGCTGGCGGGCCACCATGGACTATGCCAAGTACCTTTACCGGTAATCGACAGGCCAGCGCCATATGGGAAGTCAGTGCAGCAGTACAAAGCGCCCGGAAAGATCAAACGATGATCATACCGCCTATGCTCATCATGCAAAGCGAAAACGACGAGCGTTGTCCCATCGCACAAGGAGTCGGAATGCGTCGAGCTTTGGCGCATCATGGACTGCCCTATGAGTTTGTGGCTTATCCTCGGCAGAATCACATGCTGCATGAGCAGAAATTCTGGATTGATATGGCCGAAAGGTAAGTAAAGGGGATACTGAAATGGATTCTCCTGATTTGCTGCTTCGCTCTCGTCCGCATGGACTCGAGTGGCGAGCTTGAAGACATCCATTTCCCGGTCACAAACGCAAATCTGAGATACTTGCTAACTTATGGCCGATTGCTTCCAGGCTGTTACGATGGTGCGATACATACATAGGCGTAAGTACTGCCTACCGAGGCTAGAAAGCAGCGTGTACTCACGATCAGTAAGCCGATGGAGCGTGGTGATACGCAGACCACCTGTCGCTGCTGCCCAGGCTCAATTGAAAAAAGACATTTGCAATCAGCTTACCACAAGCAGTAAATCGCTGCGACGCGCTGCTGTGAAGTACTTTCCTGGTACACAGATGGCGCTAGCTCGATGCTGTCGCATAACGTGCACTCATCGCACGCTTTGTTTGCGCGCGACGTGAAGGTGTTATACAGCATGCTGACTGTGCAGTCTTACCGCATGTAGCGTGACTGCATCCTGAAAGCATTGAACAGGCACGTTCTACTTAACTAAGGTATTGCCGGTAATCGTACTGGTGTTGGTGTTGATTACAAAAGTGCCGCCTCACTTGATGTCTTCTGCTGCTTAGTGAGCAGCAAAAAGCCGTCGCAACTATTACAAGTGAAGTAAACCTCTGTATGCGTACATATCTGCCCTGACGTGGTACCATTCTTACTCACTTCAAACATCAATCTGGAACACACGAACACCGCCGAACACTCCATTCCCAGCACGGCAAGCGAGACCTCACGCAAGCAACATGACACTGACTGAGCTAGTGCGAGATGCGCCAATTGGACAGCTCATTCGGTTGATCACCAGAAACAGAGTACTGCTATATGCGGAGGAGAGACCGGGTTTCCAGTGTCCTTCTTGCTACAGTGAGCCGGAAGTGGCAGGTAAAGCGCATCGCCCAGCTCACGCGACGCATACGTCAACAGACACTGGACTGGAAAATGTTCATGGCGAGAAAGACGCAACAGACGTCGAAAAGCAGGGTATGGAGCCCGTGGAGGAGCCACAAGCCACGGGCATCAGTAGACCCACCCTACTGTCCATACCGACGCAGAGATCAGACTTGGAACACACATTCACACGCGAAGATCTCCACAAGCTGGAGACGACCAGAAGTACCTTGGAACGAGTGGGTACGAGGGGAACGATACTACACATCAAGACCATGGCGGAACTGGAGGCTGCTTTCATCGCGGCCGCAATGCCCAAAGAGCCCAGTCGGCCCATCATCCCACAGCGCACAATCCAGGGCGATATCCTCGTCGACTGGTACACTGAAAGTGATGAAGATAATCCGCAAAATTGGTCTACGGGCTTGAAGCTCCTCGCTTCCTCGATGATCTACCTCTACACCATGGCAGTGTACATGGGCTCTTCGATCATCACATCGTCCATTCCCGGTATCATGGAGGAGTTCCACGTGGGTGAAACAGCTGCCAGCCTAACTCTTGCGCTGTACACGCTAGCATATGGCATTGGGCCTTTGATATTCTCGCCGCTCAGCGAGATTCCCAGCATTGGCCGCAACCCGCCTTACATGATCACCATGGCCATCTTCGTCATCCTCTGTGTGCCCGCTGCTCTCGTAGAAAATTTCGCAGGCTTACTCGTCCTCCGCTTCCTCCTCGGCTTCTTCGGCTCTCCTTGTCTCGCCACGGGAGGAGCCAGTCTGCAGGACATGTACAGCCTGATCAAACTCCCCTATGTGCTCTGCATCTGGGCCTTTGCAGCGACATGTGGTCCTGCATTGGGCCCACTCATTTCGGGATTCTCAGTTGCGGCAGAGAACTGGCGCTGGTCACTGTGGGAAATGCTCTGGCTCAGTGGGCCCGTCTTCCTCGCTATGCTACTCTTCCTCCCCGAGACATCCCCCGCCAACATCCTCCTCCGACGTGCACAGAGACTGAGAAAACTCACCAACGATTCCCGACTCAAGGCGCAATCCGAAATCGACCAAGCGAACATGAAACCCCGTGACATTGCCTTTGAAGCCCTCGTCCGTCCCATCCAACTCATGCTCATGGACCCCGCAATCGGCTTCACAGCACTCTACGTCGCCCTCTGCTACGGCATCTACTACTCCTTCTTCGAAGCTTTCCCCCTCGTCTACATCTCCCTCTATCACTTCAATCTCGGCGAACTCGGTCTCACATTTCTCAGCATCACCGTCGGAATCTCTCTCGCCATCGTGGTCTTTTACGCCTATCTCTGGTACTTTCTAGAACCGGATATCATCCTCCACGGACTCGGCGCACCCGAACGCAGACTCGTTCCTGCTCTCATTGCGTCCTTTTTCTGCCCTGTCGGACTCTTTATTTTCGGCTGGACGGCTCGGGCGGAAATTCATTGGATGGTGAGTATAGTAGGGATTATGATTTTTACGATTGGGATTTTTGTTATTATGCAGAGTATTTTTATGCAGTTGGCTCTGTAAGTCTTTCCTTTTCTCTTTCCCTTTCCCTTTTCTTCCACTACTCTACAACTTTACTGACTATTTATATTTTGCTAGTGTCTACCCCCAATACGCCGCCTCTCTCTTCGCAGGCAACGATTTCGCCCGCTCGACTCTCGCGTTCGCTGCTGTGCTGTTTTCCCGACCTATGTATTTGAATTTGGGAATCGCGCGAGGAACGAGTTTGCTCGCGGGCCTGACGGCGGGGTGTATTTTGGGGGTGTTTGCGTTGTATTTTGGAGGGGAGACGTTGAGGAGGAGGAGTCGGTTTGCTGTGAAGTAGGAGGGGATTACTTTGGCAGGGAGTGAGGAGGAATGTTTGTGTGTGTGTGCTATTGTTAAATAGATTGACGGGATTTTACTATTCAGACGGGATTTTGGGTAGTAGTTTGTTTCTTTTTTTTTTTACTCCGAACTAGGAAGGATAGTTGAATCCTCCAATCATACTGTACATGTGGCTGAGCGATAGATTACCTACAGAAGGTACAGCTAAGGCTACTAAGCGACTAACGCGCTCGTTGCTTGTATTGTTTCATGTTTCGTAGTTCTTTTCTTGGCATGCATAGCACGAAGTTCCTTGGAAGACAAGAAGAAGAAGAAGAAGACCTTTGATACGTCCAACCAATCGTCTATAACCAAATCAACCGACTACTCAACTTATGTAACATATATATATACATCTTGAAAATTCTGAAACATCTTCTCCGCATCGAAAAGAGCCCTGCATACTTCAGACTTTCCTAATAACTTTAATGATACCTCTAACCTCTTGTCGTGGAATAGACGTAACACCCTTCTCTTGGCAAAGAAAAGTATACTATTTTTTTCTCTCTTCCTCTTCTCTTACTTCGCTCTTTTCATTGTGGAGAGCCGAAGTTCAAAAAAACAAGATCACATGCTTTCTCTCTTTCTTTCTCCATATCTCCGATCGGGTTTCTCGGTCTTTTCCCCTCTTTTCCCGTTGTCTGTCTGTCTGCTGTCTATTGTCTGTACCTTTTTTAACTCTCTCTCTTCGCATCTAATCTCTGACAGGGAATTGTAGAAACCATGGATGGCATGGGCTGTGCTTGTTGCTGATGACGACGATGACGACGACGACGACGATCGTGATGATGAAGTCTTAGTTGTTCTCCAAGACTTGATTTGTTTTTGAAGTTTGGGACAAGCATGAAAAAAGCTTGTTTGGAAATTGCGTGGATGGCAGGGCTTTGATCGATGCGGGGAGCGAGAGACGGGAGAGAGAGATGAAGCTTGGTTTTGATTTTATTTTGGGTGGAGCGGTGATTGGATTGGAAAGACCGGGTGGGTATGTGTGTGAGAGAGAAGAGGAGAGAGAGAAGAGAGATATATATAAGATGGTAGGCGTGCTTGATTCATTGCAGTTGTGAAGAGACAAGAAGTATTCACTGAGTCGATACTACTAAGAGGATAAAAGACTTGACGACATATATTCCTATTATCTATATCTATCCGCCTATCTACCCATCGATCAACTTTCAACAATAACTACTTCTACTCAATCAACCTCAACAACAACGATCAAAGCCAACTCAAGCCAAAATGAAGGCCTCCCTTTCAACTCTTCTCTTCCTCGCAACAGCAGCCGGATTAGCACAAGCTGCCGCTGCAACAGAGAATCTCGCAGCACGAGGTAAGTAACAACCCCCTTCCCCAAAACCAACCAACCAACCAAAAACCTTCCACTAACATACAATCCCCCTTAGATAACACCCTAAGCCTCCGCGACGCCCTCCCAGAGGCCGCTGCAGAGGAAATCTCCACAACTGCTCAAAACGACAAACGTGACGGACCAGACGGAGAAGAGAAGAAGGAGGATGGTTTCGATGAAGAGGAGAAGCGACGTGGAGGTGGTTATCACAATGCTGCTGGTCGAGGCGCCGTTCCTGTCGTGGGAGGAGTGGTGGGTGTGGCCGCTGTGATGGCTGCGCTGTTGTGATTTGAGGGTTTTTTTCTTTTTCTTTTATTTTTCCTTTCTTTCTTTTCTTTCTTTCTTGGGGAGAAGAGATCTATCGTGGGAATCGCAAATCGGTCGATGCTGGGAGGTGGGATTTTTTTTGAGAACATGATGGGAAGAGAATAATTACCTGTAACCTGAGTTAGAAAGAAACAAACCATTTTTACATTCAAGATTTCTTTGTTTTCTCTTCCTTTTTCCCTCTCTCAGCCCGCTCGGCGCCAGAGCCATTCATCCGAGTATGGAGATGCTGCAATCTTGCTGCTGCTACTGCTGCTGCTACCCGCAGAAGACCATTTCTTCGTTTGAAATGCGAGACGATGTGATTCCGGCCTGCGTGCCAACTCCTCCTGTTGTGGCAGCTCACAGCTGTCAGTTCCATTCCACACACGTTTCGCATCCACCGCCAAAGATGCAAAGACTTTTGCGCGCGCCACATCACCGTGGCAGATGCATACTTGGAATGCGTCGTAGTAAATTGTCTCGAAACGGGGAGACGATTCCCCTTCTTCTTGCAACAGTTTGAGAGCTTCGCGGCAGAGTTTTAGCGCTTTGCTCGGGTTCAGCATGATGAGCATTCCGTCGCCAATGGTCCGATAAATTTCCCCAAATCGCGTCCTCCTTCGGTCGCTTTGGAGCTGCTCGTTGGGATCGTTGTTCTCGCATCGTGCACAGCGGCATTGAAAGCCAAACTCTTGTAATATTCGCGCTTTCCTCTCCGTTGTCGGTAGAGCCCATACGTCCTCAGACAGGTAGCTCACCACAATCTCCTCCTCGGGATTAATCTCGCGGATCGCGAACACTCGCTCCCGTTTTTGGTTTGCGTCCCAGTGATAAGCCGCGTTTGCTGTGCAGCTGTGATTGAATCGGGAGCATTGGAGGAAGATACCGCCAGCGGATGACCCACGTCCCAGAGGTATAGCATTTGTTTTGAAAATGCCCTCGATCGGAAGCATCTGCTTATGGGTATTGCGGAGGGCGAGGAATCCTTCCCTGTCATGGCTATCGAGTTTCTGGAGCTGAGCTAGGACAAGGTGTGCGAGGTTTGCTTGGTATGTGGAGCTTGCGAGTTGAATGATCGGGCGTTCAGACAGGACTAAAGTCCCTACAGAGATCTGTCGAGTGGCAATCACTCCCACCCCTTTGCCTGGTATGTCTTGGGTACGCAGCATCGTAGCTAGAGGAAGTTGGTGGAGCGTAATGACAATCGTTTGAGGCTTGCCCAAACATACCTTTAAGTGAGCTAGCTGCAAATGAGCCCCTGTCAACCGTGGTCCCCTGTGAAAAGGAAGCACCGCAAGGGACGGCTGGCGTTTCACAGGCCGCTCGGCGTGTGGACTCGCGCTGAAGTTGTGCGCTCAACGCCCGCAGGTTGCCGCCAGCGCGAGATGACCTGCCGTATCGTCAGTGAGTGTCATGTTGTTCAATTGATTAGACCGTGTCGCACTGTAACCTGCCTCGGGTATACCCGCTGTAGGACAGCTTCATGCTGTCCTACGGTTGAGTCTTGCTATCACTTCTACTAGTGATGCATTGAGCATCTTCTTGTTCAAACGGAAGGCAGCATACAGTTCTTGCTCTCTGTCTGTCTCTCTCGGAACTTCGCTGTCTAATTAGTTTCTATAATGGCTCTCTGCCTATGGCTTTCTTGCTCCCGGTAGCCGTTTACTAGTATAGTCGACAGCGGCAGCAAAAAGGCAGATGAATTCGGTTTCTTCGTCAGACGACACAGCTCATGTTGGATGAAAACCTGCAAGAGGAGCTGTGGGTTACTCAAGTAGGCAATCCGGCCACTTGCTCGACTTTGACACTGCGAAGTGGGTATTCTGCATGATGGCGACAGTGTTTCGGTCGCGAATAGCAGAGGTGAGAGAGACTCTCGTCGCCAGCCGAAAATTATATGTGTCGAGTCCGTCCTCAATGACATAGAGCTGACAGAGTCATTCGGGCGGCGCGGTAGATTGCATGTTGAATAATGCAGAGGTACAGCGGCCACTGCACAGGTAAGGTAGGTATCCACGCCAGAGGGTCCATCCGCGGCCACTTCACCGCTTGCAAGAGCGGATCCGTCTCAGATGGCGCTGTCTGCTCTGTGCCATATGCGCGTCCCCCAAATATGGGACTTTGAAGCAGCAAAGCCTTGAGAGGAGAAAGCATGTTGGAAAGAAAGACCCCAACAGAAGAATGGTTGGTTTTGTCCTGCACGGTTCGCGCCGCTTATAACCGAGAATTGAGATTTCTGCCTGAGGCATGCCTCTCCGTCGAGCAGCACGACTATAAATAATGTATCTTCTTCATGCATCGAAAGCAAAATCAGCAGAAATCACAATGTCATCCGATGAAATACACTATCCACCCGGCTTCAGTCTCGCCGACGTAGTAGCCTGGGGCAGCTACGGGCTCATTGTTGTCGAAGACTGACTAGAGATTTTCCATGCAAACATGACTGCCCTCGGCAGTATTCGCACTTGTGCCAATCTTGGAAGCCGTGGCATCGCAAAAGAGAGCTAAAGCGACAGCCTTCTCCTTCACCAATAGCCGCCATTCAATACTGACCCAACAGGGGAACTACTTCTGTTACAAACTGTGTGTTGTGTTGTGATGGTTCCTTTTATCCGAGATGAAACTTACATAAACGATATCTGGATGGTAGTTTTTCGCTTTACACTCTACGCCGATTACATGTACAAAGTCCTGCGTCACATCAGCATGTGGCCTAGCAATATCTATGTCTACTGTATAGATGGCCCTTTCGACATAACCCACCCTGCATTTGGTATAAGTATGAAAATGAAACTTCTTCGAGATGACCGCATCTCGGTGAACCCAGCCGCTTTGCAGTAAAGCGACATCTTCCTCTAGCCGTGTAGTTTGCAACACTGGATGGTCCTGCAAACTGCTCACGTTTCCCAGAGACTTTGCTATCACACTATACGCATCTGTCCGTTTCGCAGAATCGATATCCTTCTGTTCGATCCGAGCAGGTGTACCTTTGTACGTCGCCCAACGGACGGTCGCTACAAATCGCATTCCTTGCGGAGAGGAACGGCTGCTCAGCTTGAGAAGGGCGTGGTGGTCGTTGCTCCAGCTGTCAATTTCTACTAGTTGAGCGAAATTCTGTCCAAGCCAGTCAGGAGGTATGAATAGCAAAGTATATGGTTGGTGTGTGCTGCGTGCGTACTAGGCATCTCGTCCAATTCTCAAAGACGAAAAACTTTGTGAGATGTTGCTCTTGATAGGCATTCCACCCTTGAGTCTGTAGTTGGGAGAGCTCTGATGACATTGGCGTGAGCTGATGTGTCGTTGGATGGTTTTCACTGCTCAGCACGCCACAATGTCTCGGGTTCGGGGCAGCGGGATCAAGGTTTGATTGGGCTGTCGGCCGGGTCATCAGTTGTTCCGGCCGTTGCGACACCTCTTCTTTTTCTCTCACTCGAACTTCGACAACGTGATCGACTTGGCGCTAATCACTGTCTATTTACGCCGATATGGAGGAATGAACCACACCTGCGCTGACCTTAAGCTAAAGACCGACCAAGTCATCAATCGGAATCAGTGGCAGCTCTTGATTTCTAAAGTGTATACTTGAACTGGCAACCGGGACATGACATAGGCCTATGATACGGTTGGTCATGACCGTCGTACGACACACGGACGATATACCGGCCACAGGCATGAAGGCTGAGCAAGCAGCCAACGGCAACACCGCGGTCTATCGCGCATCGTAGCACACGCATGTCGGTGCGGGCGGGTGGCGCAGGCCAGAGACCGGAGCGCTCCATCGGTTGCGAGTGCGGCAAGCTATATAGTAGGATTAGTCACCGCGCCGACATCGACTCCATCTTTTCAAGAGCTAAGAGAGTATATAAGGTAAACGTTGAAAGGAGACACGGTAGCCTCGCGACGGCTCTGGAGACTAGGACTGGGCGTCCAGACCCCTCAACCTGAGCTAACAGCTTACGGAGACACGCTGTTTGATGCGCCTCTACAGCTCCTACTGAGTGCGGACTGCGTTGAGTTATACCGATTCGGAGGGCTTCATCCGGTGGATATCTGCGATTTTTCCCAGCAAATCGATACAAACTCTTCCTTCGCAAGCTTAGGTGTCCTTCGATTGGCTTTACAGTACGATCCCACAAAGCGCCCATCAGCAACTGAGTTGCTAGGTCTTGACTGGTTTGGCCGTACGTAAAGATGTAAAGACAGAAGACTAGGCAGAAGAGGTGACACGAGATGGCTTGTTGACAATAGAGATACGGCAAGAGTGTCTCTGAGCGTGTGTTCATTCGCCTATCCAGTTCCGAGCTTTTTTTGCGCTTCGAGTCCGGCATAACCTCAGTCATATCTCAGGCAATACCGGAGTGCAGAGATGACTATGTCTGGCCTGACCTAGTCTTGTCCTCCGATAGGTTTTGGTTCTTTGCACTTCATCTTGGTTAGCAGCCACATATCCTGGGCATTATCCATGGTCCACACCGTGCCTTCCAAACCCCACAGTGCGTCGGGTATCTCCAAATCCGCGAAACTCCACGTATCTACCTAGACTCCACATGGGTGACGTTCAGCTACCTGGGATGAATTCTCTGTCTTGCACTTTCCGATCTGCGTATAACGATTCTTCCATGCTACTATATCCCGGATCTCCACTCCCTCGTCCGCCGGTATGGACTTGCTGGTCTGCATGCCAAGGAGTTCCTGACGTAGTTCAACGTGGCAGCGGTTTCCGTCGAGACAACGAGTTATTATCGCGGCAGGATCCTGTGTCGTCGTCTCAGCAGTTGTCGTGGAGACCTTCGAAGTTGAGCATACCGCAATTGAAGCTATATTCTTCGTACCGTCTGATCTCGAGCGGACATACTTTGCCGTGCGAGTCCGTGTACATTGTGCCTAGATATCGTGAGCGTTGCTTGCGCAGTCTGTGCTGGATGATGCTACACCATGCTACCACACAATATCGGACATGTCTGCATGCGTATGTGACTTGGGCGTGTTGACACATTGTAAGCAAGCAAAGTTGGTTCGAGACAGCCAAAAGGCATACGATAAGTCGTGCTGCATGCGGATGTTTTGTCCGCAGCGATCCCCCGAGACCATTTTATAGTCATACAAGACATCTGCGTCTGGTCGCAGATTTGGACCAGAAATATCTTGTTCCTCTTGCTCAGTAGACTTAATTTTAGGTAAGCTGTGGGGTACTACCTACCTATCGGTGTCAACGGAAAAGATTACGGCACAGGATTTGGCGAAAGCGGGTCTATACTACCTCCATGTAGGTAGGTAGTCTGTGCCACTCTGAGGTAGAGATGTTGAGGCTGAAGAAAATATGCAAAGATGGGGAGTACCTATAGTGGCAGGCTCGGCAGTGGCAGTTCCCATGCGAATATTGTGCAACTTGAGGTGCTGCTACTGTGGAAAGGGCAGCAACTTCCTGCTGCACTGCCACTTTCAGAATGGAACGGATTCGGCTGCCAGTCCTCAATCAAAGTCTTGGCACAACTTTGATTGGAAGCTCACCATATGTGCTGTATCCGCTCCATGTGGCAAGCTAGATAAGGGTGTCAGTATATTCTCAACAAACCAAGGACAATACACGACGAGAATCCACTCTTCAAGCCGCCGTACAGCCGCCGATACCGAGTAGACCCCACGGAGAGTAGCAGTATCACCAATGGTGACTCGCGCCTCAGCAATGGCAGCGCGGAAATCCCCACGCTTGGGCGGCCTGCCTTGTTTAATACGCTCCGGAGGGTTGTGGCATGCGCATGTGCCCATATGCTAAGCTGAAGGCCAGCCTTGTGACCGTGCTCGCCCTCCAATTGCGTCTCAACACCCACAGCTGGCAGTAAATGGCATAGCTGTTGCTATGCAGAGTGTGAAAGTACAGTACCTATGTCGAGCCCGCGATAAGATAAGGCGGCGACTGCTGAATTGCGAGGAACAATTTCAATAGCGAGGTCACGTTCTGTATAGCCGCAGTAGTGGTATTTTCGCATCGCACCTCTGTCGGCTGGATAACACGCTCACATGCTCCGTTCAGCAGTGAAAGCGCACAATGCAATTCCACGTAGTTCAGACCGACCTAGCTCGATATCCTGTACCGTTGAGTCCACAACTTGTCCTGAAAGACATCTGTCTTGTATGCCACCGTATATTTCCCGATGCGACGAGATGCTTTCCTTGGGCTCGAGCTTCGCTTTCTTTTTCAACAACGTCTGTGACTCGGCTCGCGCAGGTGGAGAGGCAGAGCTGCAGCTGATTGTGGTAGGACGGCCTTCGTGATCAGGAAGCGCAGGACTTCATAAGTGGAGGTGGTACGAGGATAGTGACTGCGGAAGAAGTCCAGGCGTCTCTTGGCTCATATCATCTCACTCGATGGGAGATCTCTTTGCACTGTTCTGCTTTCGTGCTCGCTTGCTTGATGTTGGGATATTGCGGTCGATTTAATGTGGGAGTGCGTGTCTCGTGGCTTCCGAAACGGCGCCATGACCTCTTGTAGCCACCTTGTGACTGCTGCCATCTGCAGCTTACAAGCTCGACAGGAACGAAGAGGTCATTTCTGCGAATTCGAGGTTGAGATGTTCGCGATTCACGTACTCGTAAAATCCAACCGGTTGCCCATCCCACCTCAGTCAATACCGAAAGGACATTTGTGGGGGCTAGCGTCTTGGCATTCAGCCGACTGCCACAAGATCTCCTCTTCTCCTCTGTAGGAACAAATATACATTCATACATGTAGTGATGATAATGCCAGTCTCTCGAAAGCACGCAGGTTCCCAAACAGGCTTCTCTCCCAAAGCCGAGCGAACATAAGAAGCACAAGCACGATTAGTCTTACGAGGCTTACTTACACAGGAACTCACTGAACCGTTGCAGGATTTTCTGTATTGGCATACAACAACAAGAGACTCAGGGAAAAGCTCCGAGGCCGACGATAGCACTGTTGTGAAAGACAAGGTATAGCCTCAGCATACCGATCTTCAGTACTGTTTCTCTCAATGCTGTTCACAGTGGGTAGTGTCGCAAGGTGATGACTATTCTTTTTTTTTTGAATCGCCTTCCGCCGCATTAGGCTCGATGAGGAAGTACAACTGCCACAGGTGGTGGTGTGCGCTGACCAAGTTTTTCCCGTCCTCAAGGCTATCTAATACCGAGATTACTTTTTCCTCGCAACACAGGAGTCTTCGCGCTCATGTAAATCGTGTCGCCACAGAGATTATTATTTCTCTACCGTGCTTCCGCCGACTCCATCCTGGTGAAGATCATCCTTCACGTCACTGGCAGAGCTCACGATCGGAAACAAGCAGAGGAACAGCGCGGCTTGGTTTGACAATTATGTTGAGTGTCTGGAGAAGAGTTGTTGAGGTATGTATCGTTGATGTTTGGAGTGATTTTGAGCACGTGATATGAAAGAATAATGATGTAGTATTACGAGTAGAGTGAAGAGGGTCCTCGATTTTGAAACTTGAGGTCAAGCAAATCCTTGTTGAAGACATTGGACAGAAGCTTTACTGTTCTGCATAATCGATCGAAGTGTTTAGTTTTACGCTTATCTTCACACACACTCTCTCTCTCTCGCTCTCTCGCTTTTGATCTTGCAGTCTGCAACTGAACTCGGCTCTCGCCAGATTCACTTTGTCCGAGATATACCTGATGCTTGAGTTTGATGATGAAGTATTTCCTCCTACCTTATGACCAAAATCTGCACTTGAATCCCGTCTCAGCTCTGTTCCCCGCATAGAATGCTCAAACGTCAAGGCCTTCGGACTCTTGTGTGTCGATGCCAAAGATAGATGTTCCGAATCGGAGGTAGGGATGGACTTCACTCTCTTCGGAGTCTGCAAATTTGAAGAACATTGCCGATATCCGTATGCGATCATAGGTACTGTGTCTCAGTTTTGCACTGAACAACATATATAGTGGTGTCGTGCAACGCTTCATCAAGTCGACAGACAGTACAGCACAGCACAACACAGCACAGCACACATCCCATCCACCATCTACACAGCTTTAACCAACTTCAATCAGTCACTACATTTACATCTCAAAATGAAGGTCACCCCAGTCTTCCTCATGCTCGCAGCAGCCTTCAGCGTGGCACAAGGTGCTCAGCTGGACCAAGGATCGAACGAGGTCGCCGACATTGTTGCTCGCTCTGCCCAGGGACAACAGCAACACGGAGGGCCGGCCGGAGCTAGCAACGGTGGAGGCCAGGGCGGTGGACAGGGCGGTGGATCTGGTAACGGTGGAGGCGAGGGCGGCTCAGGCAGCAGCAGCGGCGGCGGCGGCGGCAGCAGCAGCAGCGAGAACAGTGACGACAATGAGGGTAGGTGAAATCCATTTAGACGCTGTCGTTGACTGTTTATGGCGGACCTCTAACATACGATGTAGACTGCGATGACGACGACACGCAGTGCAACTCTGCTATGGGACGAACTCTTCCAGTGGTTGGTGGTGTTGCTGGACTTGCGGTCGCCATGGCAGCTCTGTTGTAGGAGCGCGTCTCGCGTCTGGAGTGAGCGGGGGAGGTAGTTGTATTGCTTGCAGGAGGGTCTGAAGATGGTGGAGGATCCTAAGAGAATGTGTCAGTTAACCAGCTTGTGCGTCCCATTAGTTTTGTTGTACACGATAATCTACCTACCTACTATTGCATCTCCATTACAATGCCAGCCGCGATGGTGACTGGTCCGGCATGCTCTCGGCCGATCTGCTATCCGTCAATATTCCTGTACCAGAGGATGACACTTGAAACATGCGAGAGCCGCGAGACTCCGCATTTACTCCCCATATCCGTGTTGCTTACACACCCGCAAATGGATAGTGCTATACAGTAGTACATGTAGTTCGGCGCTCGTTCAGCCATGACATGGGCGCCAGGGCAGGCTCCAGCTCGCGTGACGTATCCGGACGCGACGCGAATAGTTGATAGGTATGTAGTAATGATGGAACGAGTTCTACAGGTACCTATGTCCTACCTTAGGTACATGTAGTTGTAGATACTGTAGGTGTACTTACCAGGTTCATGTTGCGTAGCCCATGAGAGAAGTCGCAGTCTGGGGTGCATGTACTTCTACCACCTCCGGAGTCCGTAGCACGCCTCGTCAGCAGGAGCACAACAGCACAGAAACCCCGCCCTGCCCAGACACGAGAGCAAAGCCAACAGAACAGCCAACAGGCAACAGCGTATTCACGACTTCCCATGAACACGTGCTGCGCGAAGCCAGATACCATCGGAGCGTTTCGGTGTGAACGACGAGCGACGACGTGATGATCACCGCCACGGCGCCACGCTGGTGGACTTTTCGACCTGCTCAGCCCAGTGGCCCCAGTATGCCAATTCTTGGCAAAAGGCTGGCATCTTCGGCACTTCTGCGCCGCGAAGCAATTATTTGGATGCCTGATGAGATGCCAATGTTCCCGCCTACCCTGAAACATCGTGAGCATAGGCATTCGTCACACGCTCTGCTGGTGGTTCGACTCTAGTCAGCGCTATTCGGGACAGGATGCTGATGATTGCTGATGATTGCCGAGTGACTGTCAGGCAGCCTCACCCGGAACCTGGCGTCTTGGGCTTGTCTTGTCGACATGGCTGAGCAGGTTCGCAAGCTGGCACGTAAACGTGTCCTGGCATGGCATTCTTTGGGAATGGTCGGGCAAGCGGCCATGAGGATGATAGATGTATATAGGTAGGGTATGGGTTGATCTCACCTCAGGTCATCACTACCATCAGTCACAACGAGTTCCGCAGTTGAAATACTTATTACGGCAAAGCCCCTCGTCCATCAGTGCGACACATCGACGCGATAATGCATAACACGAACGTTCTGCTCGCTTTCGCAGCCACGGCCATTTGCGCTGTTCGGGGACAAGGTCTCGGTCTGGACAACAACGATGTACCACCAGAGTGCCGCTCGATATGCCAGCCGGTCGTAGATGTAGAGGCGGTACGTGCAGCTGCCCGATAGCACAAAGAACGAGAACTGACTTCTGCCTCAGTCATGCGACAACCAATTCGACGATGATGCCCAGCAGTACCGCAATTGCGTGTGCCAGAACCAGAGCGCGTCCCAGGCTCTTCCAGCTTGCGACCAATGTGCAGCGCAATACCCCAACTTCTTCATTGACCGAAACGACGACGATGGCCCAGATATCGACGACAACGGTAGGTCCAGGTGATATGAAACTTGAATGCTCTAGTTAGCTGATGCTTGCTCCTAGAAATTTCTGCATGGGCCCGAATTTGTGGCCTGCCCGCGATCCAGCCCAATGGCACCGGTCCAATGTCTAGTGGCGTCCGCCCGCCCGCCAGCTTCACTACATCCATGATGACCACCACGCAGTAAGTGAATACCGCATGAAGAGGCTTCCATGCCTTGTCTGAGACCTCTGCTAATGATCCTCTCTTGTCAGGATCTACGACTGCGACGACCCAGATGATATCATTAACCCTACTGGAACTGGCCGAGGAGACAGAGATGATCCACGATGCACTCGTACCACCGTGGTTCCAGTCGTCGGCGTCGTTGCTCCTATGACCACCGGTCCTTCGGGTCCAGCACCGACAGTAGTGTCTGTCTCTTACACTACCTCGACCGGGACGAACGCGGCTGGCAGCCCGGCTGTCTTCACTTCTGCTGTCTCGACCTATACTGGTACTGGTGGTGCAGCACTCCCAACCGCTGCTGCGGGATATTTTGGCGCTGGTGCAGCGGCGCTTCTTGCAGCCTTCGCCTTGTAGACGTCGACTTTTGGTGGACTTTCTTTGCAAGAGCGGGAGCTCTCATACGACCCTCTCGAGATGAATAACGGCAGTTGCGATGATATCCTGTGCGTGCTTTAGCAGAAATATATAGCCATACTGAATAATTCAGTGTCAAATCAGTTTGCCTGGCTACTTTGTGCGCAATTGAACCACGTTCAAGTATTGCTCAAGCGTCGGCGCGTCCTCGTGGATACCTTATGCTCCATGAAACTACATGTAGCTTAAGTACCTGTAGTAGAGACCAAAAAGAGTGAATAGGTAACTCGCAATCTCAACAGCGAAGAGTGAAAGCACGCAGGCCCGAGGAGCTTATCGAAACGGGCAGCATGGAAGCGGAGCATCGAATGGTGGGCTAAAAACCAAAAAGAAACATGAACCATGGATGAATCGAACATCCTTAATCGTTAAGATCACTTGGCGATACCGTGAATCGAACACGGGCTAACGCGGCTTTGTGGACCACAACACGTCGTCATACCACTAGACCATATCACCGCACTGAGTGCGTGGTTGCCCATAGGATTGGTTGCCAAGAATCTGACGCTGTTGAATATATTAGCTAGATTTTACTATCAGACAGTAACGCGCTTCGCCGGGACATTTCCCTTCCCCCAGGTCTAGCCAATCGATGCGTGAATGCCGCGCAAGAGACATACTTTGCACTATGCTGCATGGCGTAGCGAGAGTGCCACCAAATGTACTTGTTGAAGCCTCACAGATCTAAGTCAGGTATGTAAGGAGTAGTGTAGAGCTGCAGGTCTCACTTGGAAGTCCAGAAACCATATTAGAAGTCTGAGTCGTCCTCCTCCAAGATGGTCGTCGATAGCAAACCTGCCTTCCTGCGGTTGCCATCCGATAGACTTGCGTGCCCTGGCGACGCATGTCCCGGGGACAAGTGGCGTTGAGGCGAAGGACCATTTGCATGCTCCGACAAATAGGGTAACATCAAGGTAGGCAATGCGTCTTTGCGTGTCTGCTTCTGCTTCTGCTGGCGATAATCCTTGACCGACCTGACTTTGGGCTTGATTGGACGTGGAGCAAAGAAAAGGCCATTGAGTTTCCTGGAGATCAGGCTTATGATCAGACCACCTGCGACTCCTACGAGGGCGGCGATGGACAAGTATATGAAGAGCGTCTAGACGTCATTAGCGATATGGGTCAGAGGAGATTGACGAGAGATGAACCTCAAACTTGACCACAGCCTTGAATGGGAGAGCAAGACAGGCCAAGAAGAATTGGGTGAGGTAGACAACGGGCTGCAGAGTGAATGCAACCGGGCGATATAGCAGGTGCAGCAGGCGTAACACGGTGAATGCGATGGTTTTCAGGATCCATCCGACGGCGTAAACAACCCAGTACAGGGAGGGGTAAACAACAGCCATCACGCCGCTCTCTCGGTTTTTTGCTACTGGTTCGACCATGCTCTCACGTGTCATGATGGCAGACCTTTTGGATCATGTCTGTGACGCCAAAGCTGATGCTGGTGGACATGTGAGGGTTGCGCGGTGATAAGGCTCGAAACGGTTTTTTTGATGAGATGCAGTAGTAGTGGAAGGCTAAAGCAGAACTGTCACTGGTGGGCACTGTGCAGCAGCACGCCAAGACCGCGGTGTCCATATTGATCGCCTTGCAGCGTCCGTCTCGCTCCATAGTGCGAAAGCTATGTTACCTTTAGTACTGGGGTTATGCGGGGAGAAGCTGAGGCAGAGGAACTGCGCTGGATACTGCATTGCTTCCTACATGTACCTACATGTATTTAAACATTCCATTGTCTTCCAACGTCATGAGCTCTCCCTGACCTAAAAGAACTAGGGTCGTTGCGACAGAGCTCTATAGTTCTATCGCTATCAGAGCCATTGAGAAGACCATCTTGCTTGACACATCACCGCCGCCACCACACCCACCTCGCCTCAACACTTCGATTCCGCCTCAGTAGCCCACGCCGCCGACGAGCTTCTTCTGGTCCTTGCGCGCACAGTGAACACATACACCATCTCGGCCCTCCATGGGCCAAGCTGATAGCAGGCCTGCACGGCCGCTATCATCCACGTCGGGCTCGCTCCCCGCCCGCTCGACACCACCGCGCAAGACGGCCTCGCAGCAGCAGCAGCCGCCGCCGCCCCCACCACCACAGGAAGAGCCGACCGCCTCCACAGAGTCGACCGAATCACAGCCAGTTGCTGTGCCCATTTCCAACCACAGCGGGCCCGACGAGCTGCTGCAAGACGACTACATCCCGACCGGCTACTCCGAGAGCCCATATGGCCTTCCCGCTGCCAACTACAGTCGTCCGCCGCGACTGCCGCTGCCCATCGAGGAGGAGGAGTACCGTCCGGGCTCGCCGATCATCAACCCGCAGGATGTGTCGGCCATTAAAGAGGACGATATCGAAGGTGGAGCCATACCTCGCATAGCTTCTGTGAGGAGCTCGACGACCGTGGACGACGACGACGTCGGGGACAACGATGCTTTTGACACTTCGGGTCTCAATCATCTGCTGGTCAAGATCCCCATCAAATTGGCATGGAATGGTGGCGGCGATAAGATTTTCGTTACAGGCACCTTCTGCAACTGGGAGAAGAAGATCAAGCTGCCTCGTAATAGAGATGGCAGCCCAGGCTTCTCGGCTAACGTCCATCTACCTCCTGGTACTCATCATGTCAAGTTCCTGGTAGACGGCGAGATGGTCACGTCTCCGGATTTGCCGACCACCGTCGACTGGACCAACATTCTCGTCAACTATATCGAGGTCGTGGCGCCCTTGCCCGAGGAGACACAGAAGCAGCCAGCCGAGCCGGCTAAGCCAATGCGCATACCTGGCGCGGCCATCGCAGCTGATCAAACGACGGGAACGGAAGAAGCTGCAGCAAGGCAGTCGGCAGAACAAACGCTACCAGCCGAGACAGCTGCTGATCTGCCATCTACACTGCAAGCGACCGACGGCTCGACTGAGCAGCCCGTAACTGCCCCGGTCTCGATTGCCGGAACTCCTACACCCCGTCAGGTTGAACCCCAACCAGTGCCAGAAACTAAGCCAGCGCCAACACCTGCGCCTCCCAAGCAGAGACTGCCGCGCCCAAAGTACACTAACCAGATCCCGCAGTTCCTGGTTGATCTCGATAACTACAACAATCCAGAAGATGAGCGATATCAGCGTGCTCAGCGAGTGACGACTACCCTTCCACAACCTCCGAGTCTGCCAATGTTTCTGAATAAGAGCATTTTGAATGGCGCCACGCCGCACAAGGATGACGCGAGTGTATTGATAATGCCTAATCACACTGTACTGAACCATCTGGCTACTAGTAGTATTAGGAGCGGTGTTCTGGCCACGAGTGGTACCACCAGGTACAAGCGCAAGGTATGCCGCTTGCACGCGTTGTTAAAAAGATAGATGCTTACTTATTGCAGTTTCTCACTACTATCATGTACAAACCGACCTCAGACGAGACTTGACGCCGAGACTAGAGCAACAGCAAATGGCTCATACTGCATACTCGGAGGTCGATATGGGAGTGGCTTTCTGATTATTGCGCTTCATGAAAAGCACTGTTTCATGTTCCTCAACACGTTGGCGCGCAAGAGTTGACGCCAGCGCAACATGCGGAGAAACACACGACACTTACGGCGACACGGCGATAAACGGGAAATGAACCTTCTTGCCACTTTTTAGGGATTGTGTGCTGAACACGGGTCAGTGGGCCTCATTTGGCCTCGTGGACCACAGGCGACATAGAGACGGCATGGGGATGGTGCTAGAGCATGTAATGCTTGCAGTGCGCCTCGATATGATAGATACTGATACTCCCTGTAGCGATTCAAGTTAATGAGTATGGATTGAGAGCGGATCTGATTTGCAGCCTCGTTCATTTTCTCCGGACCCTTCACTACCTCGGGCGTACAGATTGAGCGTTTGAAAATAAATCAAGACGGGAATCTCAAGAATCAAACCGAGGTCAACATGACCAAGGACGACGCCCGAGCTCATTGATGATACTACTCACAGCAGTGCATACATGTAGTTAGGCAAGTCAGTACGGGCTACCGAATCATACCCGGAACCACTCCGATTGCAAGTCAACGTTCGAGCTTGATAATCCCAAATCGCTCTTCTCGAACCTGCCACGCCTCGCGTCACTCGCCGCGCCTGCTCTAGACTCCATCTTAGAAAGAGTCTCACGCGCATCCAATTATCCTCGGACTTTCAACGAGTCCATTTATTCCCTCCAATTCCCTTGGCCTCAGCGCAATGTCGATCACGTCTTCGGTCTCGCTCATCATACCCATCAGGAAACTTTCTCAACAACACCTAAGCTCCCCTTTCTACTCTCCCCTCTCCCCCCACCCCCCTCCCATTTTTTTCTCCAACTCCATCTGATAAAAACCACATACGTACAAGACGCTGTCTAACGTCCATGACGTCCGGTTGTGTAATCTGAAGTCAAAGTAGTTGTGCTGCTGGATTTTCTTTCCACAGGTATTTCTACAGTCGTCTGGGCATCGATGGATGTGATGGTTTAGTTCATATGAGGTATTAAAACGAAGACTGGCTAAGCTGTCAAAACTGTAAGCTGGTTCGTGTGAGGATGGAAATACTGTGGTGCCTTTCGTGGCGGCTGATATCTGGTCCAGGCACGTGCTAGTACAAGTAAGTTGTCATGAGAATAATCATTTCGTTGATATCTCGCTGTTGAAGCGGGGGGCTACTATATGTAGATATGTGCTATATAAGTCGATATTCGTGTAGTCATCGCAGTGATGATGAAAGTAGAAAAGCAAGTGAGGTTTCATGTCCGTCATGAAGTCATGCCAAAGCGAGTGTAGGAGGTACCTTGTAGTGCCAAGTAACAACAACAATAACAATGGTCGCCAAAGGAGTGTCAGTAGGTAGGATTGCTAGAAATTCAGAGCAGCAAGATTACCACGTTGAAGTGCTTCTTGTTTCACGTGTGCGGTTTCTCATACGATCGCATGAGATGGAGAGATTCCGATCTCCAAGTCGTCAGCTCTCAGCGATCAAACAGATTGCTTCTCGGCCTTCTCAGTCGGCGGAGCCTGTATGCCACTTCTTCTCGCTTTTTTGGCTTTGCGAGCACGCTTAATTGCCTTCCAGCTCTCGACGAGCGAGATGAAAATGACGAGACTGCCAAAGACCAGTCCCCACTCCCAACTCAAAGGCTCATGTCGAAAGACGACACGATTGAGGCCAGGAATGTAAATGACCGGAAACGGTGTGACCATTCCGGCCAAGACTGCCCAGAACAACCATTTGTTCTTGCGTAGAGTGCCAAACACACTCAGGCCAATTCGAGCATCTTCGTCGGGATACATGTTGAACAAACTGAGGTCCAAGTGCTTCGCCTCCCAAGCCATGACAGAGAGCAAAACGGTCAGGATTGAGTAAGCAGTGCCGCGAGCTCGGTAAGGTAGCCCGCAGCTATCGTTGTATTCGTGATTGCAATCTGCTCCCAGGTCTCCATTTCCCACGCCATAAGCGACGACGACATAAGAGGCGAGACAGAGAGATCCCATACAGGTTCCATAGATGAATTTGTCAATGATCAACTCCTTGGTGAAGACACCGGCTTTGAGAGAGTGTGGTGGGCGGCTCATCACATCTGCAGAAGCCTCTTCGAGTCCTAGACCAATTGCCAGGAAGGAAGATGTGACGAGATTGGCGAAAAGGATCTCCAGAGGCGAGAGTGGGAAGACCGACACGCCATTCCTATCCTCGAAAGCCAGGCCGATGAGGAGTAGAATGACTTGTGCAATGTTGGAGATCAGCAAGTGAAGCAAAAACTTCCGAATGTTGTCGAAAAGGCGCCGACCTTCGCGAATTGCAGAGACAATAGAGGCGAAGTTGTCGTCGGTGAGGACCATGTCGGCTGCCTCCTTGCTGACATCACTTCCATTCAAGCCCATCGCGACACCAACGTCTGCACCCTTGAGTGCTGGCGAATCGTTCACTCCGTCGCCAGTCATGACGCAGTACTTGCCCTGGCGATGCAAAGCTTCGAGCATGCGAAGCTTTGTTGTTGGAGAACACCGGGCCAGCACCAAGGGAAGAGAGGTCATCTGATCAATTTCAGCATCGCTCAGCTTGTCAAAATCAGACGCTGTCATGACCGCAGTGCTCGAATCTGCACCGGAGACGTGCGAGGCCAGAATACCAATTTCGCGAGCGATAGTGGTTGCTGTCTTCATATGATCGCCCGTCAACATGTGGACTGTTATCCCAGCAGCTTGACACTGCTTGATAGCGCCCGCGGACTCGATGCGTGGAGGATCGTAAATACCAACAAGACCGGCAAACTCCAGATGCTTCTCCATATGTGTACGATCTGCGAATCGCTCGCGATCTTCCGTTGCGAGCGTGCGATGACCGAGGCATAGCACTCGAAGACCTTCGGATGCCATGGCATCAGCTTGAGCCAAAATGGCCTGAGAAGTTTCGTTGCTGACGTTCATCAAAGGTATGAGAACTTCCGTGGCTCCTTTGGTGTAGCATTTGCGGTCGCCAGTCGACGAGTGATCGTAGATGGCAGTCATGCGCTTTACGGAAGAGTCAAACGAATGCTCGGTCTTGATAGTGAGATTCTCTCGAGAGAGAGTCTCTTGCTTGCCACAGCCAATACGCATGGCCATGACCTGAAGGGCTATTTCGGTAGGCTCACCGGCCGCAGTCCATAGGCTGCCAGAGGCTGCAGGCGGTTTGACAGTAGACACATTGCAAAGTGCAGCGATCTGGAAGAAGTTATTGACTTCACTGTCATGGACCACTTCCTGTGGTCCTTGGATCGTGCGATCTTCCAGACTCAGTGTGCCTGCAGTCGGATCGAGGGGATTCAGTTCGTTCTCAACTTTGATGACACGGCCACTTGGAAGCCATGCCTTTCGAGCAAGCATCTTTCCCTGAGTCAGTGTGCCTGTCTTGTCAGAGCAAATGTTCGTGACTCCTCCAATAGCTTCAAGGGCACCCATCTTCCGAATTACGACGTTACTCTTGGCCATAGCCTTGGAGCCTACCGCCATCGTGATCGTCAATACAGCGATCAGACTCTCTGGTATGACGGCCACTGCTACACAGATACCATAGATGAGAGTTTCGTCATCGATTTCCCATACGTTGGCAGAGAACACGATGATGGCAAGGAGGATGGCCAATGCGAAGAGAAACAGAGCAAAGTACGACAGTTTGACTTGAAGTGGAGTACCAATCAGTCCCAAAGCGCCTTTCAAACCCTTCCAAAACCTCTTCGCCGCGCGCATAATCCATGGTCCCTCCTTCACAGGCTTCTTATCGCGAAGAAGGGCGGCGATTTTTCCAATCTCGGTGCTCATGCCAGTGGCAACAACGATACCAGCGGAGCGACCTCGAGTTACTGTAGTCGAGGAGTATGCGATATTCTGCCTGTCTCCAATAGGAGCATCAGCTCTGTCGGACATGAAGTCAGAGTTTTTGGGGGCAGGCTTAGATTCTCCAGTGAGTAGAGCCTCATCGCTAGCAAAGTTGATGCTGTGGGCGAGACGGACGTCAGCAGGAACGACGTTTCCGACGCCGAGCTGGACGATGTCTCCTGGAACCAGTTCCTCGGCCTTGATCTCCTGCAAAGTGCCATGATCACGCAAGACTTTACAAGTGGGCGCGGCCATAGCGAGGAGAGAAGCAATGGTCTCTTCGGCATTGTAGTCTTGGAAGAAGCCAACTACGATGTTGAGGACTATGACTGCACTGATGACACCACCCTCAATCCAGTCCATAGTAGCATAGCTCAAGATCATAGCAATGGCGAGAACCAGCGTAAGACTGTTGGAGACCTGGCGAAGAAGGATACGCCACCAGATGACTTTCCCCTCCGTCTGGAGTTGATTCAAGCCATACTGCTCACGACGGCGGCTCACTTCACTGGCTGTCAAGCCATTCCTGAGATCTGTCAGTAAGCCCGCAAGGACGCAGATGAATATAATACTCACTCTACAGTGGTGCCGAGGATGCTTGCCACACGAGTATGGGACAAAGCGTGGGCATGGGCTTGGATGGTGCTGATATGAGCACTGTCTACAGTGTCGACAGTGGTAACAGAATTGGACGCTTTTTTATCGCGAGCTCCGAGCAAGGCGTTGTCGTTCAAGAGAACAGACTCCCTGCTCGAGCCCGCGCTCGGTATAGGCGGCGGGTCGTCGACATTGCCACTGTCATCGGCGGAAGGTATGCCTCCTGGGCCATGGGGTGCCGTCGAGTGTGATGACCCGAGATGGTGAGTGGAAGGGACAGAGGGGTTTTCCATCAATTATTCGGATGCAGACAGGCGGCCTTCGCGTATTGGGAGCAGTGATAAAGACTTCGGGTTGGGGATGAACAAAGAAAGGTGATCTCGTGATGGAAACAGGAATGCTGAAGGGACAGGAGGGGTACCACCTCTGCTTTATGCTCGTCAGGCCACGGCATGGGATAGGTACAGGCTACAGCAGAGCACCGCCGAGTGCCTGGGCGAAGCTGCATGCCGCCACAAGGAGTGTAGTTTACTTGGCGAATAGCTATCCGGTGCAGCTTATCTCATCTTTCCTGGCATGACATTGATAGATATCCTGTCCATTGGGAATCATCTCCATCACTCATGTATCACCTGGATAATTCCTACCTTACCTTAGGCTTGATTGCTTTGATGACGGGAATATGTGAATTGGGCCTGGACTGGGTAGGACATCAGAACATGGGGGAGAGTTGGGGAAGCATGTCGTGTGGTTCAGAAACTTCAGCACGCTAGAGTTCGTATCTTGGCAGATCCACTGCTTGATGCCACATCTTTGGTCGCGTGAGCCTCGTGTCCACTTGTGTCTCCTCGCTGTTGCGGGTAGCTGTGCTGGCCGTATCGGTAGAAGGACCACGACAGCAAAGACGAGCCGAAACTGCTGCATCTGGAGCATGGCAGCAGTTTCATAGAAGACCAAGGTAATACCTTCACGCCGTGGAGGTGTACGACATTCACTGCCACCTACTCTCCATTGCAGACTTGCAATTTTCATCGTCTGGAGCAGTCTACGGCTTCCACCACTGAAGGTAGTCTCGAGGTCAGAGGCTAACGAGTCAGGTATCACTAACATTTGCCACGGCATTCTGAAGTGCCAGGCAGCGTGTTCGTGGACATCACGGGCATCCAAACCAACTGCTGAATGTACAGAACACGTCGACTACGCACTTCACAATAGAAGGTACCCCTTTCCTGCGAACACTGTCCGTCCCCGCACATAACTGTCTTTTCTCTTTTGCTTACGATGATCTCAATCCGGGTTCACTCCTGCCTTGCCCAACAGTCCGATGGTCCAAGTCACGAGACAGGTGATGGTTCCGCCCGAGAGTTATATATACTCACAGTGAAGGCGCTCGACCAGAGCAGAGATGATCTCAGTCGCATTCCTGTAGTGATCTATCAGTGCTTTCGTGATCTTGTCTCGATCAAGCTCGAGATCAAGGAACCAATATCCACAGCCTAATCACCTCATCTGCCTCATCGCCAGACTCCAAGTTCATGTCAAAGGTGCCTCGCAAAGCTCTATTCGTCTCGTCCTGGGTATCGTAACAACTGATTATAATGCACGGCTGTACCATAAGGTATCGTTTTCAAAGCAGCCCTTTCCTCGCCAGCTCGATCTTTCTTTGCGCTTCTCCAGCTTTGAAGCCACCCTTGCTCACACAGGCCATGCTGCCTTCGCCAAACTCGACTTTGTCCTCGGTCTTAGGAAACGCGCAAGGACAATGGTGGGGAAAATGCACGCAGGAGAGGGTGTGCGGGCAGAGGTATTTGTCGCAGCGTGCTATGAGATTTCACGTTAGAGTACAGTTTGAGATATGGTCGCAAGAAGTTGCCGTTCGGAAAGCAGCATACCGCCGTCGTAGTTCTGCTGGTACCACTGGCTATCGCTGCCCATGTTCTGTGGCTCTTGCTGTTGTTGTTGCTGTCCGAACATGTTGCCGAAGTTGAAGAATTGAGCCATGGCAGGACTGATGAGGAGCAGCAGCGCTCCAACGATTGCTTGGAATTGCATCTTGCGTAGAGCTCGTGTGGTGTGTTTGCGAATGGTGAGGACGGGAATGGACCTGCCCAAGTCACTTGTCTACTTGTTCATATCGGCAACCTAAGGTGTCAACATCGGAGGAAAGTAGGAGCGGCAAAATGCCAAGACAGCAGGCTCTCCAAAGATTGAAAGAAAAGCTTCGACAGCTTCATCACTTCGCGATATCTACCAGCACAACCCACGGAACCCATCACCACCACCGCCACAGCCGCTCAAAACACCGCCCACCATGCATCTCATGTACACCCTCGACTCCGAAGGCAAGCGCGTCTATACTTTGAAGAAGGTCGTCGGCAGCGAAGTCACCAAATCTGCACATCCGGCCAGGTTCTCGCCTGATGACAAGTATTCGCGGTATGGCATATGTTCGACTGTATAGGTTGGTGGAAAACGAGACTGATGGTTGCGCAGACACAGAGTCACTTTGAAGAAGAGATACGGTCTGCTGTTGACCCAGCAGAGTAGGTTGCGCATGGCTGCATTTACATGGATCGGACTAACGTGCTGCGTAGAGGATAAGGTGGTGCTTGGACAGTAAATCATCTTCCGGAAAGAAATACATATGGGCTTAGCGAGGCGTTTGAGGGCGTGTTTTGGGGGATGTAGAAGATGAGCTGGGTGATTGTTTTGCTGGCAGGAAGTGATCATCTTACTGATAGAAGAGATGGAAGACAATGGGACACCTTTTCGAGATTTTCGTCCCTTTGACGTCGGAATGTTGATCGCCACGTGGGTGGTACTTGATCGCACCTACCTATTCGGAAATGTTCTATCTGAGGTATGCTGGCTGAATGCAGCATTCTTTTGGCATTCACTGTCTCAGCTCACTTCACTGCTCACTTATGTATGAGACATCACGATCAGCGTGTTACTCACTTGTTCAGGCACTTTCAACACAAACTCCAATCAAACGACTTCCAGCAGACATATTCTACCTCTATTCCGCCACTGTCTCACAGACCTCGACGAGACATCCACTGGGCGACAGCATCGACGAAGCGGTCGTTTGACTTGGCAAATCTTGAAGATCCCGAGAAATATTTGACAAAGCTTTGATTGTGGTGTCGAATATATACTGCTATTTGGCTCAAGCTCAGTAAAAGGAACTTGTCAAGGGTACGGTACGGGTCAGCAAGGTCCGCAACAACTGGAAAAGGTGACATACAAGCATTGCTTGAAACTTTCACAGAGGCTTGTCAAGATGGAAAATTCGCTCCTCAACAAACTCCCCGCTGAGATGCGCAACGAAATATACAGACTGGTCGTCACATCGAGCACGGCGCTCAAGGTCTGTTCCAGCTCTGTCACTAACCACGACGATGACGACGACGGTAAATCAGGCCCAACAGCCACGCAACCAGCTCTCACAAAAGTCTGCAAGCAAATTCGCGCCGAGAGCCTGGGACTGTTCTATCTCAGCAACAAGTTCAACATTCACATCACTGGATCCCCTCGCGGAAACTCCGAACTTCAAGAAGATTTCGAAAGACAGACCATCGAGGTAACACGGTGGTTACGCCAGACAACCCCCAGGAACCATTTGTTGATCTCGAGATTGAAGCTCGTGATGTACATGCCGTGGGAGAGCGGGAGGGCAGTTGAAGAATGGGCATGGTTCTTGCGCAAATTCAGACGCTACGGATATAGGAAGTCGAAGCTCAAGACCACCGTTCACGTACTGAGTAGAATGCATTCCCTCCGGGACGTGTTGAGTCTTGCAGGGAAGCTGGACGCGTTTGGTGCGGAGCAGGCTCAGAAGGCGAAGGCGTTCTTCAAGGACATGGGAATCAAGGCTCGAACTAATTTCACTTTCATTGGATAGAGCTGGGTTGGTGGTAAAAAGAGTCATCAGGCTGGACGTTTGCGTGGAATAACCAAGTATGGCCCTGGAGAAGAAAGAAGGAAGAGTCGAGATGCGGATGGATCTCAGAATCAGTTTTCCGGGCTAATTTACCACCAGCGGCGAAGATAGGGGATGGTTGGTACAAAGGTGTCTGGGTCCCTGCAGCTTTATCCAACTCGCGAAATACATACGCAATATGGAACATCTGAAGGAGCAAGTCAAGTAGCGCGTACGACGTTCTGATTTGCGTACGTTACTTCATTCAGCACAGGTGCAGGTTGCAAGATACGCAGAAGAGCTGTATTTCATACATGCTTACTCTAATACGATGTATTTTCTCAAATGCTCGGGAACAGCGTCAGTAAGCTTCTTGGTCTCTAACCACTTTTTGCTGAACAGCCTGTCGGCATATCTGTAAGCGCCATCACAGAGGATAGTCACGACAGTGTTGCCAGGCCCGAGCTTCTCCGCGAGATCTCTCGCTGCTGCCACGTTCAATGCAGATGACGCGCCTAGATATAGTCCTTCCTCGTCCAAGCATCGGTACACCATCTCAATACTCTTCTCATCGGGAATATGCAGAGCTCCATCCAGAAGGTCGATGTCTGGCTTCAGGTTATCCGTGACACGGCCTTGACCAATGCCTTCCGTGATGGAAGAGCCAGTGCGGTCGACGAGCTTACCGCCCGAAGAGACATAGGTGTAGAGGACAGATCCAGGAGGATCAGCAATGTAGCACTTCACGCGTCCTTCGGAAACGGTCTTGAGGTAGCGGGTGCAGCCTGCAATTGTACCAGCAGTCCCTGAGGCGCAAGTGAAGGCATCAATCTTGCCGTCCGTCTGCGCCCAGATCTCAGGTCCAGTAGTCTCAATGTGCGCCTGTCGATTGGCGGTATTATCAAACTGGTTCGTCCAGACGGCATTGTCCAGTCGTTCGGCATGTCTCTTCGCTTGATGATTGTAATTTTCGGGGTTGTCGAATGCGACTGCAGGCACAGGGTAGACTTCGGCGCCGAGAAGTCTCAATAGGTCAATCTTGCCCTGTGATTGTGTGTTTGGCATGTAGATGACTAGCTTGTATCCTTTCGACCGGCAGACATGTGCTAGTCCAATGCCAGTGTTTCCAGCCGTACCCTCCACCACTGTGCCACCGGGCTTGAGCAGTCCCTTCTCTTCAGCGTCCTTGACCACGAACAATGCTGCCCGGTCTTTGACAGAGCCGCCTGGATTCTGGAACTCTGCCTTGCCCAGTACTTCGCATCCTGTCTGCTCGGATATTTTGTTCAGTCGGATAAGAGGGGTATTGCCGATTGCTGAGGAGCTATATATCAGTCTCAGCTTCCGCATGGGTGTTTGCTGAATCTTGTATTGACCTACCAGAAACCAGGCCATTCTTTGCAACGCCTTGCGCCTTCGAGATATCGAGGCCGTGCGGATTCATGGCGTGCACTTCTGACACGGATGGCGCTATCGTGACTGCCGTACGTACTGTTCTGAAAGCTACTGGCTTCGTCGCAGCCCTGATGGCCGTCCGCGCAAACATGATAAGAGCGGCGCAAGACAGAAACAGCCGCGGATGGCGAATTTGAGAGTGAACTGTCTGTACCTCCACCTTAGCGAGCTGTACAACGGAAAGTCAAAAGCTCGTCATCCCGCCCAACCCCCGCTAGAATGGGTTCTACCCGACGCGAGTGCCCGTCGGCCGTCGCATTGTTTACCATCCGGGGTAAACAAACTCCTACCTCCTACGACTTCGGCTTACAGGAAGCTACATATCAAACACCACACTCAATACGATGCCCGGACGAGTCGCCAGCGGAGGCGCGCGTTCATCGCGCCGCACGGTCTCCTCGAAGACATCCACACGTTCAATGCGAAACGGCTCGCCTACAACCGAAATACCGGACGAAGGCGATGACAGTTCCCTGCGACGCGCAGTGTGTACCGTATTTGCAGACGCGCAAAAGTCAACGGCCGGACATCGAAAGGCCATTATATCACTCCGAAAAGTCCAGGAAGCATGTTGCTACGAGCCAGTGAGCGGCAAGAAGGGCAGGCAGAGCGAGGACTTTGACGAGGAGGACTTCAACCGTGAGGTGAAGCGATGCGTGATCCGGATTCTGCCAGTCAAGAAGTCTGAGCCCGTCGGAGATCGTGTTGTGCGATTTCTAGGCACTTTCTTAAGTGTCGCAGCGAGCAAGGACAACGAGATCGCGCAGGCGGATGAGGACCTGGAGGAGGGTGTGTTACCAGAGACGCCAACGAGCAGGCTTGCCACTGAGATCCTGAAGACTACAATGATGGCCATGAAGACAAAAGCTAAGGAAATTCGATATCGGGCGACACAAATAACCAGCCACATCATTAACAGCCTGGACACTTTGGACGACAGCCTATTTCACCAACTACGCCAGGAGCTGCTGAAGCGAATACACGACAAAGAGGCTTCAGTCAGGCTTCAGGCTGTTTATGGTCTTGGCAGACTCGCAGCAGAGGTGGAAGAGGACGAAGATGACCAGGATTCGGACTCGGACGAAGACCTGGGCGGGAAGACTGTGCTGAACAAGCTGTTAAACGTGCTACAAAATGACCCTTCTGCGGAAGTCCGGCGAAACTTGTTACTCAATCTGCCACTTACGAAAGAGGTATTGCCGTTTCTTCTGGAGCGAGCAAGAGACGCCGACGCTACCACACGAAAAGCGTTGTATGGGCGCTTGCTACCTGCTCTAGGAGATTTTAGGCACTTGAGCCTGACACATCGTGAGAAGCTGCTTAGATGGGGGTTGCGAGATCGCGACGAAAACGTCCGCAAAGCCACAGCACGACTGTTTTGCGAACGATGGATTGAGGACTGCGCAGCTTTGCCCGCAGCACAAGCAGCTGAAGGGGACGAGGACGTTGAAGCACAAAAGGGCAAGGAAGCAGTGCCGTCCCTAGATGCCTTACTCGAGTTGCTGGAGCGGATTGACGTGGTAAACAGCGGAGGCGAGGGCGGTATCGCTCTCATAGCAATGGACGAGTTTTGGAAGGGACGACCGGACTATCTCGACTATGTCTCGTTCCCCGATAGCTTCTGGGATGATCTTTCACCAGAGCTCGCGTTCGTGGCGCGCACATTCAACGAGTACTGCCGAACGACGACGGAGCACGTCGGCCCACGAACGCTGGCCGATTTAGCCGAAGAAAAATTGCCGGAAGTCACGAAATTCGGCTTTCTGCTTGAACGCGAAATTGAGAAGCTCGTTCAGGCCACAATCGCATCGGCGACAGAGGAAGACGAGGATGCCGACGACAGCGAGCTGGCACACTGCGAGTTCATTGTTGAGCAGATGCTGCACATGGCGCTTACCTTTGACTATAGCGATGAGGTTGGTCGCCGCAAGATCTTTGTCTTGATGAGAAGTGCACTTGCTCAACCAGATCTGCCGGAGGAAGTGACAAGACTTGTCGTCGAAGTGCTTCGCCTTGTTTGCGGTGAAGATGCCAAAGACGAGCGGGAGTTTTGCAGCGTTGTGCTCGAAGCCATTGCCGAAGTTCATGATACCATCATGGGCGAGGACGATGCCGATGCCGACAGTACCGCAGACAGCTTCCATTCCGCCACTGAACAATTTGATGGGGAAGATGGCGATACTCTGACGGTGGCACAGAAGAAAGCCAACAAGAAGAAGCAGGCCGAAGAGGATCTCGAAGCTGATGAGGATAGGGCTGTACGCGAGATTATGGTCAATATGAAGTGTCTGCATGTTGCGTTGTGCATGCTGCAGAACATACAAGGTGACCTGGAGGAGAATGTGCACCTCGTGACCATGCTGAACACTCTGGTTGTGCCAGCCGTGAGAAGTAAAGAGGCTCCTATCAGAGAGCGAGGCCTCATTTGTTTGGGGTTATGCTGCCTGCTCGGGAAGGTAAGTCCAATTCGTATTCATTTGAACGACAAACGCTAACGACATGCAGAACCTGGCGGAAGAGAACTTGACGTTGTTCATCCACTGTTTCACGAAGGGCCACCCAGCACTGCAGACCATTGCACTACAAATCATTACTGATATCCTCATCGTGCATCCAACTTTGCTTGCGCCGGCCGCGCCTGTCAATGGCGAGGAAGAAAGGAATGAAGCTATGAAGCCTCTGTTGAAAGTCTTCAAATCTTCCCTGAAGTCTGGCGATCCAGAAGTGCAGTCCACAGGCGCCACCGCTTTGTCCAAAGCTATGCTGTCCCGACTTGTTACAGATACCGACCTTCTCAAGCAGCTCGTCGTCACATACTTCGATCCTGACAGCATTGCAAATGCTCAGCTTCGTCAAAGCTTGAGTTATTTCTTCCCAGTGTACTGCCACTCTCGCGCCGAGAACGCCGTCCATATGGCGGAGATTACGACTGGAGCGATCAGCAAGCTTCAGACGCTTCGGAAAGCATTTGAGGATGATGACGACGAAGATGTGGCCGCTGCTAGTTCTGACCAGATGGTGTCCATGACGCAAATTACCAATATGCTCCTCGACTGGACTGATCCGCGTAAAATTTTTGGCTTTTCAGACGCAGTTGGGGACAGTTCTGTCAAGAGTGGTGCTGGAGAGACACATTTTATTCTGGCTGAAAGCATTCTGGATCGACTTGTCACGTCCCAGCTTAGCAAGGACGAGAAGAAGATTCTTTTCAGTATGCTCAACAAGTTGCACCTCCCTGCTGGCGGCTGCGACGGCGAAAGGCTAAAGAGCGTTCTCGAGTTGTTACAAGAAGCAATCGACACGAAAGTGGCCACTGACGCTACCAGCAAGAACATTCTGACCAAATTACAGACCGCTCTTCTCAAGCTCATGCACGATGTCATGACGGACGAGCGAGGTGGGGGAGATACCGTGCTGGACACCACTGAATTGCCGGACCAGAGCGAGGTTGCAGATGAGACTGAAGTGGGAGATGTGACCCAGGCCCCTGCTGTGGCCGATACCACTGAGGTTGGTGATCAAGAGGAGGAGGAGGAGGAAGAAGAAGAAGAAGAAGAAGAGGATCAAAACTCGGATGTCACGCAAATTCAGCAAGACCTGAAAGATGCTACTCTAGGTGCAACGACGGGACTGACGTTGGGACCAGCTGACGCAGAGGGAACAAGGTTACAATTGGATTACGAGGATAGTGAGATGATGGATGTTGATGAATGAAAGGACTGATGAGCGCGATTGCATGATTGAGGGTCTCGTATCTTTTGTGCAAAGTGCCGGCGTTTGGGGGTGTATATTCATGTTGGCACGAACTGTACGAGAAGATACCCGAGGACCTTTTATATAGGTACCTAACGGCCCCACGCATTGTAGTAGAGAAGCCACATCGACCTGAGTCGTGCTAGATCGTAATGGGTGTTTCTACGTGAGGTGTGATCATTACGCAGTGAAGTCCGCTACGATGCTCGGCCTCCAATCACGGGGTCTGCATGATTATTCACTTTGATGATTTCGGCCCCACATTCACATGCGCGCCGCGCCGCGCTTACCCTGCTTGACCTTCGACTTGTGAAGCAAGTCGGAACGCATCAACTTCCACATCAGCGCATCAACATGGCTTCACCACCCAACTCGGCGCGCTCGCCGCCAGGACCAGCATCTGCTACCCTACCTCGCCAACGACCTGGTGGGCTCTCACTTGCGCTGCCAATCAAGTCGCGAAAGTCATCGCTGGCACCTCCGTCCGCGTCATTGCATCCTTTGCGCCAGACGTCTTTCCCTCCATCTGACAGCCTTGAAGCACAGCATCAAGCTGCAGAGGACAAGGAGCTACGCTTCTCACCCGATGGCGACGACCTCGACGATGACGACCTGGACTCCGAAATTCATAGCGCGATCAGTGGACCTGCCGATGGGGGACTGAAACGTAAAAGAGGAGACAAAAAGGGTCGGGGACGGCCGTCAAATCGAGGAGTTGCCTCAAGAAAAGGCAGCGTCTCTGTGCTGGGGGGTGAAGGCGGCCGGAAAAAGGGCGGACGCAGCACCACAGGTGCACCTTCTGTAGTCACGGGCGGATCAGGGCAGGATGGACAAGACGCTGAGGACTCCGACGATGACCATGATGATGGGTTAGGTGCACGTGGTGAGGCTTTCACAATGGATCCTGCTGAGTTGGATCGCGACAACCAGCGCAAATACATGTTTCGGGAGGCAGTGCCGAAAGAGCACCAGGACCGATATGATGCATACAACAAAGTAAAGCTGAGAACAGCGGACGTGAGAAGATTGGTGAATGCCACTTTGTCACAAAGCGTGCCTCAGAATGTTGTAACAGTCGTGGGCGCTTACACTAAAATGTTCGCCGGCATGTTGATTGAAAGCGCGAGAGAGGTACAAGCAGAATGGCTAGCTGTGCAGCCGAACAGGGCCGATGGAGAGCAGCACGGGGCATACAAACGGCTGAAGCTCATGACAGCGCACAAAGATATGGAACCGGACAAGGAAGCAGCTGAGGAAGCCGAGGAAGCTAAGGAAGCTAAGGAAGCTGAGGAAGTCGAGGGAGAAGAAAAGGCAGACGAGACCATGCCAGCTGAGAAGGACGAGAAAGACAACTCTGCAACACCAGCACAGAGAAAGAGCCCTGATCCCAAGACAGAGCCGAAGTCTCCTAGCAGCAAAGTCGCTGCTGACTTGCCAGAGGCTACTTCTACTCCTCCGCAGCCGAACGGACTGTCCGACGGAACACAGACCACGGAAGTAACGAGCACGCCAGAGCAGCACAAGAAGAAAGACGAGGATGATCTGCCAGACGACTTCGGGATCGTTCAGCCTGGCGCGTGGGGACTTTCGAAAATGATCGAGGAATGCGATCGGGGACCTCTACAGCCCGATCATCTCAGAGAGGCGCTTCGACGATATAAGAAGTCAAGAAGTGGAGGCAGCGTCGGCTTCACGGGCATTAGTCTGTATGGGATGGAGAACCGTGATGTAGCTGCGAGTCGTATGGGCGGCAAGAGACTGTTTAGATAAGCAGATATCACATCGGAGGACCAGACTCTATGCTGTGGTAGAACAAACAGCGATACTTTAAATATTATGATACCCAATAATTGTAAAAAAACGTTTTGCTTCGAAGGTGTTTATTGATTTATTCTTCATCGCTCGCCCAATCAGGCAAGTCGGCCGTCGAGCTTTCGAGCTCACTTCCATGTTCTCTTCTCCAGCCTCAATACTCACCACACAATCAATGCCTCCTCGAACATCTCTCGTCTCGCGCGCATCACGCCTTGTACAGAGCGAGCCATACATCTGCTCAACATGCCTCTTCAGTCATCGCGTGCAACAGCGCCAACGTCAACCAGCCCATTCCCGATCACGCCCGCAATCAACCAGGAGCAGAAGCACTGCCATTGAACCCCGAGCACAGCGAGAAACGACACATCAGAGCACTCACACTACTGCCCGACGACAGTACTATGCGTCTCTCGCCTCCTCCACAGCCATCAACGCGCCCACATCCGTCCCACCACACCTTCACGCCCTCTATCAAAGCCTCCTGCACCTTGAGAGCTCGGCCTCTAGCTACATCGACCTCTCGCGTCTACAACTCGCGCTCCGCTCTCTCGAGTCTGCCGACGCTTTAATACGGATAGCTTTTCTCGGACTTGGCGGAAATGGAAATCAGGCTGCGAGGAGACTGGTTAGGGTGTTATTGGCTGACGCGCTGAGCGACGGAGTGGAACAGTGGGAGCGGGAGCTTTTAGATGGGGTCGAGGGGAGTGTGCTGGTCAAGTACGGGGAGATGGTGCAAGATGTGGGTATTGTGGGTGGTGGCAGAGACGGGAGAGTCAGAGAATTGAGAGTTCCATCTCCGCTGCTCAAGAGATTAGGCGTGGAGATTTTGGTCACAGGATTGAATGCCAGCGAAGAACGTGCGTCTGATGAGCTGGAAGCTACTATCCTGGTACCTGCGTTGACGATTCCTGGGGCTGGAGGGAGGGTCGGCTTTGTCAGATATCCGGTCCACAAAGCTGTGGTGGTTACGGAAGGTGTTAGTGGTGCTGTGGAGCTCGGAAGACTACCGAAAGGCTTGCTGAATGGGCACATGATACAGTCTGCGCTTTCTTTGCCTTTACGGAAAGAAGAAGGTATTCCAAAGAACGAGCGAGATGGAGACGTGGTGGATGTGGGCCTAGCCGAGCATGCGCTGGGACTATTCAGAGAAAATAGAGCCAATGGAGCAGTGTTCAGTCAGGAGTGGCAGGCGAGCAAAGTGGGAAGCATCACGAACTGGCTCGCGAACAGCACAAAAGTGGACGAGAAGGGAGATGGACTGAAACCCGCTGTGAGGGATCTGCTAGGTTCGCTTTTGGTGAAAACACAATCGGCGGTGGAAAGTGCAGATTCAAGTTCTTGGGCGAGGTGCTCAACGCTCTCTGTGCCGGAAAGTAAGCGCATCATCCTACAAGAGGCTCTCGCTACCTGGTGCAAAGACGCACATCAAGATCTGCAAACAAACCTCTCGACAGCTTTTCTTGGACCGGCCTGGAAACGCACGACCTGGTGGCGGCTGTTTTGGCGCATTGACGAGGTTTCCATCTCAGCCGCGGAGGTCCTTCGCCGAGGCTGGCTTGTCGAAGCTGAGCAGAGTCTTGCTTTTCTTTCGGGACGCTTACTAGAATCAGGCGTCGCTACAGAAGCGCAACTGCGAGGTATCTCACACCTGAGCGACAATCGCAAGCCAAAAGCGGAGGCAGCTGCCGAGGTGAAAACACTACTGGACGAGCGCACGGAGCAGGAGATGGCAGATTATAACGCTGCGCAGAAAGGCATATTCAAAAACGGACGTCCTGAGACGGTAGCCGAACTCATGCAACTTCCGCCCTTGCTTTCTAAAATCCGAGAAGAAACTGGCCTGAATGCACTTTTCAATCCGCCATGGCCGCAGACTGTCAACCTCGCTCGGGAACAGATACTTCACGAAGCAGTACCCGCCTTGCATGTCAAGGCTCAGCGGTTCATGCTCGCTGCTCTGTCCACCATGGGCGGCTCGAGTGCCCTGGCTGCGTGGTTATGGGTGGCGTCCGGAGGAGTGGCATTGTATGAGAGTGGTGCGATTGCTGCTTTGGGCTTGGTCTGGGCATTAAGAAGACTTCAGAAAGTGTACGGCAAAGAACGAGAAGTATTTGCGGGCGCTGTGCGAGAAAACGGAAGAAGAGTACTCGCAGACGTGGAAAGTAGACTTCAGAAGGTCGTGAACGAGGGAGGTCGTGTTGCAGTCAGAGAAGAGGATATCCGAGAGCGAGAAAGCGCCAGAAAGGTTGTGCAAGTCACGCGAGAAGCTCTTGGGCAGATTCAAACCCCGGAAGGCAGAGCTTGAGACTATGCGTATTTACCTACCTAGCTAGGCAGTAGGTAGACTTTTGACAGAACTTCACACAACAGTACCTACCAGTATATCATATTCGAGTCGACGGTTCAAGGGGCGAAAAAGCTCTCGACGCAACAATAATTTTCAACAAAATTTTCAATTCTCATGCATAGGTACCTTTCATGAAAGGTCATAGAAAACTGAACACTGATATCTTAGGTATCTTTCTTACCTACCTTAGGACCTTCCTTCTTCCTACCTAATACCTTACTAACACATGCAAGAAAAAAAGAAAACAAAAAAAAAGAAAAAAAAGAAAAGAAAAAGAAAAAGACTCCCAGGGCCCAGCATCCGTCGGATCTATCATCTTCCAGTCTACCAGTATGAACCAAAAGACTAAAATTTCCCCAAGAGAAAAAAAAGACATGTAAATCTTGGCATTGGATCTTGTCGGCTTGGCCAATGTGAAGATTACCTAGGAGGTAGGTACGTACCTTACCTCCTGCAAAGATACAGAGGTACAGAGGTACAGAGGTACATGTACGGAACATGTATACATTTGTGAAGATAGGTACCTCTTATGTTGTACCTACATGTATGTGCCTAGGTACTTTTTAGGTGATATAATTTACTTATAGGTACCTAAGGTGTACTATATGTCGCCAAGGGATTTAGTAGTAGTGGGTCGTATGTAGCCAAGAAAGAGAGAGAGAGGGGAAGAGCATACCTACCTAGGTGCATTACCTGCATAGAGAGAGAGAAGGAGGGAAGGAGGGAGGGAGAGAGAGGGAGAGGGAGAGAGAATCTGCAGGAAACTCAAAAATAATCCTGCAACCTCATTTCTAAAATATGCCATCAAATCCCCTAAGTTGTGGTATCCAAGGAAGAAATCGCTACACAGCCCAAAAAATGGTAATGAATTAAAAATCATCATGGGGGGCACCATACTGTAGCAACGAACATGTGGGGACGGGCGCTGCCACCTGTTCAGCCTCGCCTCGCCTGGCCAGTGATGGCACTCTGTTCTGTGGCGCCTTCACACGCGCATACCATTTGTCCTGCTCCTGCTGTCACCACCACGATCAATCACTCAAGTCGGGATTAGCGACGAACAAGCGTGGTCCACTCATGGTCATGGTCCGCTCGTCGACACTGCCCCTCCGCCTGAGATCGTCGGCATTGCTCTGCTGCTTCCGTATTTGTTCTTCTGCAGTGATTTTTCTTGCGGGCAGCCCGCCAATATCCCCAAACTTCTCCTCGCTGCTGCCGCTATCTCCGTCACCACCACCCGTCCGGTTGAAGTAGTCGTCTCCTTGTATCGAGCCTTCTCGCGGCGGCGTGGGGGTCGGTTCTTCGCCGATACGGTCCACCGGACTGGCACCGGGTGGCGTGTTGCCATTGCTGTAGTTCGGGTTGAGATTGCTGTGGGCCCTTCGTGCACTTCCGCTGCCGTTGCTTCTCCCACTACCGTGCCGAACATGATAACGAGGACCCGACGTCTCCTCGTCACTGTGGTTGCCATCGTCCACTTCCGACGCCGACAAGCGCATCGGTACGCCTGCTCCCGCCACCATTGCAGTCTTATACGTGCTCGCTTTGGGAGCGCCATGATGGCGGATCTTGCTCCGGACACCACCCACCATGCCAGTACTATTCGTGCTCGTCCGTGAGGCGGACAGATAGTTCTGGCCACCTGCCACTTCGGCGGCGGCTCTCATCCGCGCCTGCTTTTGGGCGACCAGTATGCGCGGATCTTCGTGCTGGGCTCGATCACACCATACTGTCGCCTTCTGCTTCCGCATCAAGGCGACGTACGAGGTGGGTGACACGGATGAGTTGCTGCGCGAAGAGGTGGAGCGGCGTACGCTGGCGGCGGTACTGTAATTGGAATTCGTGGGGGCTCGGGTGAGGTTATTGTGGCTCGACGATGTCGACGAGGTGGCATTGGAGAGGGTTCGCCGTTGCTGGCCGGCATAGTGAGAGGGCGGCTGCTGGTGTGTCATGGTGTAGGCGGTGGAGGAGGAGGTCGGCAGCGGTGGTGAGTGGGAGGAGGAGGAGGAGGTGTATATGGGCATTACCCCGCTAGAATTTGTCCTGGCGCGTACATGTTGTTGGGCAGGTGCAGGTGCATTCGAGTAATCTCGACGGGAAGGTAGCGGCTTCCGATGCACGTTCATCACTTGCGCCATGGGTGTCCAGTGTGTGAGGAGTGGTGTGGAGGACGGACAGTGGGCAGTGGGCACAAGTGTCGGTATGTAAGGTAGGTCAGGTACCTTTGCGGTCAGGGTCGGTCCCGTCCTCGCGAAGCCGCTGCTCGTGTTGCCAGCCCAGCGATGTCACACAGCGGGGATGTTCCCACGGCGGATCCCGTAGGAGACAACAATGTGTGGTGGTCCGGTGGGCGTGGGGAGACAATATAATGTAGGTACCTACTACCTAGGTAAGGTAGGTCAGGTCGGTAAGGGAGGTCAGGTAAGGTAGTAAAGTCTGAAGTGAATGAGGCGCGCGCGGAGGTCGTATTGTGATTGTATAGTAAGGCAAGGTAGTACTGTAGTCTGTAGTAGTGTAGTAGTAGGCAGGTCGTACTAGGAGGAGTAGGAGGTAGATAACAATGGCGACAGGGTTCGGCGGCGGGTACAGATAAGGTGGTCAGATTGCCGGGCGTTGTGCTTCCGATGTGCTGCTCTTGGGGGGGTAGCCCTTCTTTGTGCTTCGCGTCCGTCCTTTGTGCTGGGAGCCGGGAGGTGGTGGCAGCTGTACCGTCGGTATGTGGATGTGGGATTGTGGGTGAGGTGTGGGCAGAATCAGATTTTCTCTTCTCGTTGCGCGACTTTCGCAAAACGGAGAGCTAGTTAAGTCACCGGCTAGGTAGGTCAGGTACCTTAGCACCTAGTATAATAAGACTTAAAAGTAAGGTCGGGTAGGTCACACTCGAAATGGGACTAAAGTGTAGTCTGTCCCCTTGCGTGTGATGATTACCTATTATAAGGAATCAATCGTTCGTTCGTTCGTACACGCCTCGTCGCTTGCCCCGGCACACGGTCTCTGTCTCCTCCGCGGGCGGCAAATGGTGGACCCCGCCCAACGTGGCTGAGCCCGCCTCTTGATGAGCCTCTGATGAGCCTGTCCCAATGCACGGCCGTGGCTCCTCTCCAATAATGAGCGCTGCTGGCCCGCTCACCACCACCACCACCACCATCAATACTGCAAAGGGTTTAAGGGAGTTGGTTGCCGAAGCAGTCGTAGAACGAAAATAAACAATGATCGACGGCCAGGTATGTATCCTGACGCTCTGCCAGTAGCCAGTAGGAGGAGTGGAGGAGTGGCCATGGCCTTATAGCCTTTATAGCTCGGACCTTGCACATGTGCCATTTGTGCCTATACCTATACGGTCTGCCTCCTACCACGCTAACTACCTTCATGAAGGATGCAATAAATATAACAACCTTTCAATTCAATGGCACGGACGGGAGCAAAGAGACGAGAATCGTGCAGACGTCACCCGATCCAATGGGAGGAGCGAGAAGCCCATCCATGCGCATCGCCCACGGACCCACGGTAGCGTTGCAACACCACCGCCAGCTGGACTGAGGTGCGGGTGGGATGGATTGATGAATGGTTGGCGAAACTTGTGTGATACAATCATCGTCGCCATAGCGGCATCTCAAGGCCCGCTGGGTATATAATAATAAAAAACGTGGCCGGTGGCTGCTCCGTCACGTCACACTCGCCATGCTTCTCGAACATGATGAGATGGAATGGCGGGCCGATAGGCGTGGGCGACGGATGTATGATGAAAAGCATGTTTTTCCTCCCAATATCGCCGATCACCAGCGCGAGAAGGCTATGCGTGCTCTCTCTCTCTCTCTCTCTCTCAACAACCTCACCTTGATGCCCCAACACGCGGGTGTCCATAATACTTGCCAAAGCCTCTTCACATAATACCTCCGTAGTATCTCAGTTGCAGGGACTAATATCACATGCCTCGAGGATAGTCTCCCAAGATACACCATTTCTAGCCGCATGAGCTAGTTCTCCTTCCAAGAGCTACAAATGCTACCAACTACCTCGCAGTACACGTTGTTGTCGATTTAGCTCCCACCTGCGCCTGCGCAGGTAAAAACTCAATGCCTCGCTACTCGATACGGTAAAACAGCTCTCTCTCTCTTGCATGTGCAGGTCTGAGCTCAAACAAGAAAGGGTACATACCTCGGAGGTAAAACACCTATCTATCAGCCGCAAAAGAAAACGTGTTTTTGTGACCGCCACGGGACTTTTGCTATCAGCACAGCATATGCACCTGGCCGAATACAAAGACCACGAGCCTTTTTACTTATCTCGTACTAATGCGAGCGGCGGAGGGTATAGTGGAGTCCCTCCCTTCGGCTGCTGCACGAGAACCTCGTGGCCATCATGGATATAAAAATGTAGGTTTTCAGTATTCAGAATACGGATAGGACCAGGATGACATACATAGGTATTCGTGACATGGAAGAAAAACTATATACATGTACGGAGGTATACTACTGTAGTACGTACTAGTGCGAGGAGGGGTTTTTTTTTGGACAGGTCGGGTTAAATTTAGAAAAACTCGCGGCCGTGCTGGTTTCCCAAAACAGCTCCTTTTTCTGATTTTCCATTTGTAGCGCGTCGTCGTACGAGATGGCTGTAGGAAGGGGGGACGGGAGGTTCTACTACAGTAGGTAGGTATCTCTTAGTGTGCCCAAGGTAAGTAGTATGCATGCAGGACGAGTGACGGTCAACGACTTAACGTTGCCTCGCAGCGAATTTCTCCTCCCCGTTGTCGGGATTCCCGACTACCACTGCAAAGGGAATCTGCCATTACGAATCCTCGGGAATGTGCCTGGGCACAGCATACTTGACTTACATATACATTAGTAGTATACTCACAACTCACATGTAGGTCGGGTGCGCGTGTCGATATCGTGACATCACTTGTGTGCTGTACGAGCAGCAAAAAGAAGAAAAAACAAGCAGCTGGGAGGTACCTTATTACGCGTCTGCTGTCAACCGAGTTCCCCATACAGGTAAAGTACCTACTTGCTTGCTTGCTACCTTTATCCTCCACACGCAGTGTCGTCTGCTCCACGGGCCCGGTGTCCACTCTCCATTTCGATTATTCCAAGACTCCTCGCGGGCGTACGTGGAGGCGCCGGGAGGAATGGAAGCACAAGACTTGCACCACCCGCCCGAAACCGGGCTTGAGACCACGGCCGTTTCGAGAAGAGCGAGCGAGCGAGGCTGGTTATCTCACTTAGTGGAGGCGGCGTGAGATGTGGAATTGCGTCCATTGAGCCCGTGACTGTGCATGTCTTGCCTCGTGGAAGAGGCTTTGCTGTTCAGAGGCGAGCGGCGTGAGAAGTCCAGGACGCATTCTGTATTTTATTGGACACGTCTCTCTCTCTCTCTCTATCTCTGCCCGTTTCGTTGGGCGGGGGGCAAGTCCTGCCTGTGCCGAGTAGAGAGAGAGATCTTCATGCAAACGGTACAGTGGAGTCTTGCGGCAGGCTTCCATAGAGCATAGAGGTACGGTACCTGAGGTATTTGAGCAGAAGCCGGGACTGCCGCATCCAAGGCAGACTGGTGACACGTCTCTGGCTGGCAAGATGAAATCCTCCTCTCTACAGTCGTCGTGTGTTGGGTGATTTGTTGTCAGTGTCTTCCTACCTCCTTGCTGTACTCTTTTCAAAATATCACTACCTTAGTAACCTAGGTACTGCGTGACAGAGCATACCTTAGTATCCTGACGAGAGCCGCCATGACAAGCTGCACATTCCTCGACCGGCTGCCCCGTGAGTGTCATGTACAAAGCGCACAACCGATATGTACCTAGAATAGGGTACCTGACCTACAGATGCACATAAACTAACTCCCAGATGACAAAAAAAAACACAGGCGAGCTACGCGATCTCATCTACGAAGAAGTTCTCGCCGACGAAGAAGAAGTCATCGTCGACACAGACCTGCACCAAGGCGTCTACATCCCAGGTCTCCTCCACACCTGCAAACAAACCCGCAACGAAGCCAGCAAATCCTTCTACTCCAAATCCCACTTCCGCATCATCACCCCTCAAACTTCCATGCTCTTGCCCGTCAAATGGCTCCATTCCATGCTCACTCGCCACCGCAAGCAACTACGCCAAGTCACAATCCATTTCCGCACCAACCGATCACCCTCCTCCTCCTCTGCCTTCTCCTCGCCCCCCTCTCCCTCCTGTCACCAACGACCCTCTCACCGCCCCATCCAAAACATTTTCGACCACCAAGTCTTAAACGCCTTACGTATGGAATCCCGCTACCTCGGAGACAAACGACGAGTGGAAACTTCTACGTTACTCGAACATTTAGCTGCGATGACATATTTGCGTCGTAGGACTATTTCTTTTGAAGTCGATGGTCCGTCGTCATCATCATCATCATCTTCTTCTTCTTCTTCTGAGGCTGAGTCTGGTTTTGCGCATTATTCGACGCATACGTGGGTGCACGAGTTACTCACGAGATTGTTGGAGCGGCCGAGAGTGTTTGCGTGGGGGACTCTGTTGGAGAGTTATCCTTGTTGTGTGTTTTTGAGGGATCGACAGGATCGAGTGGCTTTGTTGGAGCATTTGTGAAAGAGGATGGGGGAAAGGGAAAAAGGAAAAGGAAAAGGAAAAGGAAAAGGAAAAGGAAAAGGAAAAGGAAAAGGAAAAGG